GACACAGCGAACCCACCAGGTAATCGATATTTTATTAATTATTCCTCGAGTGTGGCTCAACATTTTACTCAATATTCTCTAAAGTATGGCCTAATTTCTACGAACATAGTTCTTCACAATTTCTCGCTATTAAGTGATGATATTGATTGTTAACCATTGTTGTATCAAGAAAATCTACGTTACCTTCTGACATCGTCTCGAGTAATAATTAACAAATAATTAACGCGCAACAAAACCTCATCCGCTGTGAAACAGGAATGTAGGGGAACGTTCATTCTACAATTTTAAATTGCAAAGTTTAACAATTTGTTTGTAGTAGTACAGTTGGTAATGATTTAGCTGCTGATTTCGTAGATTTCTGCTCTATCGATATGTCTCATTTAGTTCTCAGTTGTCGCCGCTAGATGCCGCACATTCGGTTACCTCCTTAGTCCTGATGCTTCGCGCGTACGTACCAGGAACCGATGAGATGCTTTTTCAAGGAGGTACCACCGGAGAGTAAATCTCTGTCCTTGTCATATAGTATATCTGTACTTGTCTGGCACATTACGGGTACAGGGAGAAGCTTCCAAAATTCTCTGCCGCTAGATGGCGCCACCGATCCTCGTTCCTACCGACTTTGCATACTCACCAGATAATCGATAATAACTTATTAATTACTACTCGAATGTGGTTCAAAATTTTACTCAATATTCTCTAAAGTATAGCCTAATTTCTACGAACATTATTGTTCTCAATTTATCAATATTGTGTGAAAAAATTGATTGTGAACCATTGATCTATCAAAAAATTCTACGTTACCTTCTGACCTCGTTTCGGGTAATAATTGAGAAATAATTAACGCGAAACTAAATCTCTTTCGCTGCGAAATAGGTAGGTAGGGAAAGGTTCATCCTGCAATCTTAAATTGCAAATTGTAACGATTTATTTGAAATAGTATAGTTGATAATGAATTAGCTGCTGATCACGTAGATTGCTTCTCCATTGACATGTCGCGTTTAGTTTGTAGCTGTTGCCGCTAGATGGCGCACTTTCGAAACCTCCTCAGCCCTGATGCTTCGCGCGTACGTACCAGGAATCGATGAGATGCTTTTTCAAGGAGGTGTCTCTTGAGAGTAATTTTTTGTCCTTGTCTTACACATTACATGTATAGGGATAAGCTTAGCAAATTCCTGGCCGCTAGATGACGCCACCATACGTCTCTTTTACCGACGCAGTGAACTCACTAGATAATCGCTAATTAGTTATTAGTTACTATTCGAACGTTCTTCAAAATCCTACTGCATGTTCCACACAGTTTACCCTTATCTCGACGATCATAAATGTTGACAGCTTCAGCCTATTAAGTGAAGAACTTATTTGTCCACTGGACCGCTATCAAAATTTCTACGTTATCTACTGACGTCGTCTCGGGTAATAATTATCAAGTAATTAACGCGGCACAAAATCCCGTCGATTACGATATGGGAAGTTACGGGAAGATTCGTTCAATTATCTAAAATTGCCAAGGTTAACAGTTCATTAGTGGTAGTGCAGATGATAAGTAATTAGCTGCTGATTCGCAGTTTTCTTCTGTATCAACATGTCTCGTATAGTTTGTAACTGTTGCCACTAGATGGCGAACATTTAGATACCTCCTTAGTCCTGATGCTTCACGCGTACGTACCAGGAACCGATGAGATGCTTTTTCAAGGAGGTATCACGAGGGAAAAATGTCTGTCCTTGTCGCACGGTATGTGTGTCCTTGTCTTACACATTACCGGTATAGGGAAAGGCATAGAAAATTCCCGGCCGCTAGATGGCACCACCAATTGACAATCTCACCGACGCATCGGAAGCACTAGATAATGGCTAATAACTTATCAAGTACTACTCGAATCTGGTTGAAAATTTTACTGAATGTTCTCGAAGGTTTACTCCAATTTCTTCTGGCGCTAATGTATACAAATTGTGCGTATTAAGCAAGAAACTTAATTGTTTACTGTGCGCTTTTAAAAAAATTCTAATTTATCTTGTGACGCTGTCTCGAGAAATAATTAATAAATAATTCACGCGGAACAAAATCCGGTCCAGTGCGATACAGGAAGGTAGGGAAAGGTTCATTCTAATCTTAAATTGCAAAGGTTAACAATTGATTCGTAATTGTTTAGTTGATAATGTATTCGCTGCTGATCTCAGTGTTTTCTCCTCCATCGACATGTCGCATGAAGTTGTTAGCTATCGCCGCTAGATGGCGCACTTTCGGATACCTCCTTAGCCCTGATGCTTTACGCGTACGTACCAGGGACTGATGAGATGCTTTTTCGAAGGAGGTCTCTTATTTCTGTCCTTGTCGCACCGTATTTCTGTCCTTGTCTTACACATTACAGTGGTTGGGAAAATTTGCAAAATGCCTGGCCGCTAGATGGCGCTACTGAATCTGTTGCCCCTGCCCATCTGCAACCGTCTTTACATATGCATTTAATGTTCCTCTGCCTTTGCATTGGGTATTCTATAGATTTCCGTGGGGCGATTTCGATGTTCGATGGCTCAAAATATTGTGTTACGTTTATTGTTTGCCAACTGTTCTTTACAGATGTAATGATTATGTTACGGCAGTCGATATTTTACCGGCCTGGGTGTAGGAAATTGTCGGCACCTTGGCAATTTGCTACGAACGCTTAACACGTCTGTTGTTTTTCAGACATTTTAATGAAGCGAATAACTGTTGTCCACAACGAGCGTTCAATTTACGAACTTGACAACCTGTACAATAAAAAGAAAATGTTCAGCAATAGAACATGGGTAATAGAAGTTTCTCGAACTTTAGGCTAAGGGTAGAGTACTTCCTAAACTACTGAAAGATATTTCAAATTCTGTTTTTCTGCAGTTTTCTCTGCATTCGCGAGATCGGTTGTTTAAAATGCTGCAAATATAGGAATTCAAATTTTTGTGAACTGACAGGTATGGAAATACAAAATTAGCCTTCCCCGCCCCCTCCCGTCAATCCTTATCCTTTTCATACCAATACAATTAATATCATTTCTCCACTACACGCCGATCTAGGGAATTTCTCTGTCTCCTTCGCCTGGAAATATCAACCAGTTTTTTTGTCGATTTCACCCAATATGTTTCCACATTCCTACCAAGTAGGTGTACTCGAGTCCCCCTCTCCTTCCGCCATTTTTTCCCGCAGCTCATTCATTTTGCTCCTCGTCCAGTTTTTCTTCATTCCTTTTTTTCATTCTTCAAATAAATACATCTTAAGTTTCAGCAGTTTTTCAAAAGCTTCCATTATGTTTTCATTTGCTAGATTAAACAATTTTAGGTTCCTAATCGACTATTACTAAAAAAGATCATTCTCATAACGATTGTCGGTAATAGCTACAATCGCCGTGTGCCTACGGGTTACAAGTAACCCGAATAAGAAAAAAAAAGAAGAAAAAAGAAAGGAATTGTAATTCGACGAGGTGTATCGACTTCTCTATGATACGCGAGAGCGGTAGTGGCGAATAACAATTCAAAATGGGCATTTAGTTGAAACCGTATTACGTAGCGCGGTCTCGAAACTCGACATGGTACGTTTAAAGGTAGAGTCGAAATTGGTTGCATTGAATTTTCAGCGTACGCGATCGAATTCGCTCGACTGCGGTAACCAATGCCGCATCGTAGCGATATCATCGACACCAGTCTAGATGACGACAACGGAAAACTGTAGGTCCGATGCGCGCATGAGTACGGGAAACGGGCGGTCGAAAACGGGTCGTTGCGAATGCGTAGGCCGTCGCGAACCTTGGCAACGGCAACCACTCCATTTGACAGTCGACGGCCGGAGGTGACGGAGCTTTGATCGTTTCGCGATGGAGTTACGCGAAGTGAACCGCACTTTTGACGCTGCGGAAGAGACTGCAGAACTTTTACCATCCTCGCAGAATGACAACACGGAACTCGAGAGTTATTTCATCGAATACGCGATTCAAAAAGAAATGATAAATCGAAATCGATGCCCCGCCAGTCGTCGTTTGCTCAGTCAGACCGCTCATTTGGCGGAGTTCAATTTCGCCAATGGTAATCATCAAAAGGTGGTGTATCGTATTTAGATCTGTTCAATTGTTCAACTACTCTCTCCACATGTTCGATTGCGATGAGACATCGATGTAACGTCGAGCGTTGTCGTGCAACGCGTTGCATCGAGAAACCGTGTTCCTGTTCCCATCGAAAGGACCGCGACGCTTCGTTCGATTTTGCGTGAAATTATGTCATATTGGATAATAATGGTTCGCAGGCGAAATAATCGCGGATTCGTTGCGCGTTCCGATGAAAATCCAGGAACGCGTACGATCGTATATCGGTGCAAATCGAACGGAGTAGGTGGCAGTGGGACCGGGGACTCGAGCTGCGGCAGGGACAGGGTTAGGAAAGCAACGGAAGCATGTAAGCGACTAAATCCGTGTTACGACTGTACCAATTCTGTATAAAATTCTTACACCTTTAGCCCTGTTGTGTGTCCACGGGTCTTTCTCGAGTCAATTGCAAAATCGTTAGCAGAGTACACGTACGTATGTATGTATTTACGTGTGCTCGCTTTCTTGGTAACACTCGAAACGAGTAGATAGCTTGATAAATTGGGAACCGCAAAAGGGTTAGATCCAATTCTCTGCATTGGACGAAATAGCCTGTCGAATGATGAAAGAAAGACGGACGGAAAAATGTTTTCAGGATTCGCCGTGCATCGGAATTAGTATGATACACACGTCGAACGCAAATTGGCCTCCTTCCAGGAAAAGAGAAGAAGCGAAAGCATTGGAAAACCTTCGCAAACGAGTCGAACAATCCAAATTGTACAAATCGACTAGAGCTTCTGATACTTGTGGGTCAACTTCCATTTCTCTGGTCTTGAATGACAATCGAAACGAACAACTCGATAATCGGCCGAAGCTTTTAAAAAAGGTGAGAGAACGAAACTTGACGATGTAGACTGAATTCGTAGGATGCTGTTCGAGAACGAAACGGACGTCTAGACGAAGTAGTTTATCGAAACACGACACGCTTTTACTGGTCCTGCTGCTCTTTTAATTCATCGGTACCACGTATATAGATCCTGAGTAACAGACCGATGAGTATCGCGCACGACAGTAACGATCTGGAGACTGACTGGCGAGACAGTGAATTTATTACGGAATGTTTATGCTGGCACAATGTGTATCGACAAAGGCACAACGCACCGCCGTTGACGATGTCGCCACAGGTAAGAAGAAGATACCGTCCCTTCGAGAAACAGTAACTCGCAAAATCGTTGACAATGATGATCATCATTATGACGATTCTAATAATATTGGTGATGATGATGACGATGATGATGATGACTATGATGATGATGATGACGATGATGCTGATAATGATGATAATGATGATAATGATGACGACGACGACGATGATGATGATGATGATGATGATGATGATGATGATGATGATGATGATGATGATGATGATGATGTATTTTAACTACGATGACGACGACGACGAAGACAATGAGATAATAATGAGATGAGGATGAAAATGATGATGATGTGATATTGATATGATGATGATATGATGATGATATGATGATGATATGATGATAATATGATGATGAATAAAAGCACTGATCGATTACAATCGCAAGTGAAACGGTAAAGGATACAGACGACATTGCCACCGACACAATACCCATCTACCGATTTTGACGCGTAATTTGTTCTTTTTTTCATTTTTTTTTCTTCAATCGTCAGTGCGATAAGACTATAAAATTCGATACAATTGATTATCTACGTCTGACCGATGTTTTCCGTTTGCTTTTACAGTTGTGTGAGTACGCTCAAACATGGGCCAATCATTTGGCGCACACGAACACATTTTATTATAGAAACGATCGGGAGGTGGGACAGAATCTTTACTGCCGACCAGGTGGTGCAGTTCCTACAGACGTAACGGGACAAGACGTTGCATCCTACTGGTATTCCGCGGTGAAGCAGTACAATTTCTTGAAAGAACCCGATATTCTTCACGCCAACGTGAACGCAGGTATCTCGAAAATACAAAAATACGGAATATGAACTGGGCGGAATTTCTCGTGTGTTGTAATTTATATGTGTTTTATCCATGGTAGGTCATTTCACGCAATTAATTTGGGCAAACAGTCGTTACTTTGGTGTCGGGAAAGCTCGCAGTAGAAGTGGCAAAGTGATCGTAGTCGCCAATTATCAGCCGGTTGGCAATATATCCGGGCAATTTCAAAGTAACGTTTTACCACCTCTGCCCGAAAATGTGAATATGGCATTATCATCGCCACCGCCGCCACCGCCGCCACCGCTTCCGCTTCCATTGCTCCAGACGTCGGGGAAAATCTACCGAGAGCATTACGTCGCGTCCGATTCACCGGTTCCGGCGTCGTCATCGGTACCGCCGTCGGACACCGCGTCGACGGACAGTGACCGGTCTTCCGTTAGTTCAACGCAATAATACAGACGACCGAATTGCCTCTTCTGCGTTTGCACGCGCGGATGGGATGGACATTGATCGATTCTTTTGATATCGTCATTTTTCTCGTGCTCAACGATATTCGTCTTGCCGATTAACGTACCCCGTTCTCTTGATCTTTTGTTTTCGTTTGCCCCTTTCGGTTTCCTCGTTCAATCTCTGCTTCGTAACACGATCGACAAACGCGTACGAACAAAGTTGCATTTATTTTTCAGCAGAGATCGAAGAACTGAAATAACAGAAATAACTGAAATAACTGAAATACGCTTATAGACTACGAGTAAACGAGCGACACGGACGTGTGCGTATATGCACACGCGCACGTACACGCGTATATACACGAGTATGAATGCGCGATAAATTCTCGCGCGTACGTAAATTTAGTACTATACGCAGTTGTTTGTTTGTCTCTTTACTATTTGTGTAGGGATAAACAATCTCGATTGTTTGAATTTGAGTATGCACGTTTCCCGAATAAGCGACAAATGGTATTGTTAAGAATCTCGTTCCTACGGTTAAACGAACAAAATGTGATACGATGCGGAAAACGATCGATTACGAACCCTATAAACGTATGCGTGATCAGTGATTCGCATACTTCGCATACTTCGCATACTTCGCATACTTCGCATATTTCGCATATTTCGTATTGTTCGTGTTTCACGCATAATACCCACACGGCAGGACTGTTCCACTTTTTGGCAGTCGACGGAGAACTTGTTTAATTGTACATCGATACGTACGTTCACTTGAAAAATCAAAGCGCCCACAAGTACTGGGCGAGTCGATTAGACAGCGTTTCTGTAAGTACTCTGCAACATAACATTTGAACAGTTATTGGGACGACGGTGACGGTGACGGTAACGGTGACGACGACGACGACCACGACAGTGACGACGACGACGACGACAGTAGTCCCTAGTCGTAGAAAATAAATATTTTATACGAGTCTTGTGATTAAACGCGAAAATCGTCGGCGAAAACTACGACGTGTTTGCTAAGATAGAATTATTAGGAAATTCAACGGCCGATGATGCACCGTCGCGTGACTATAGAAGGATCGCGAAAATTCTGACACGTAAAGGTCAGAATCCGATTACGGTTCTATACGTTTCAGTTATTCTTGATAATCATCGTTTTAATGCGAGAACGCGTTGTTGCGTCATCTGTAAAATGCAAAGCGCACTTGTTGTACGAGCGTAATTTTGTTATCTATTCATGTATGCTGATAGAATTACCGCTTCCCTTTGCACGTACGAGCGTATACTTGTACGTGCATGCCTGACAAACGCCTAAAGCATTATACAAGCAAGTTGAATGCGAACGAATACTAGTCTAGCATGTGCTATACTTGCACCAATGAAATCGATAAAGTGGCTATCGCGTTTCTGTAACATTGCGGTAACCCGTCTCGAAACGACCCCCGCGGTATTGCTCTGTTCCGAACACCGTTGACGTAGTACGTACGAAATTGCCAATATAACCATGTCATCGAGGGGCCTTACAGCCATAGGGTTCCTTAGTTGAGCGAGCAATCAAAACGGCACGTGTTACTTGCACGATTTTAACCAGTTAAATATCATAATTAGATCGCGAACGTAAAGTGAGAGCTATACACAAGCGTCGAAACGAAATTAGAGAATTTTTCATTATACGCGCTTACCATTACTTTTCAACGAAATATACTTTTTACTAAAATCCATTGCGCAAGTACATGCTACATCGGAACCGAAACTACCTTTACTTTCCCTAGTTTGCGCCATCTGTACGAGAAGGCTCGAACCGTCTCTACCAAACAGTACTACGCGTTTCGAGTTGAGCAGCGCCACCGTATCGTTCCGATCTTTGTCGATCAAATAGTTTCAAACCTATTCTCCGTACAACTTCTTCCCTAGCCTTGGCTAGTGATAACGCACGCGACAAAGGTGTCCAACGTACTCCCCTCGCGCTAGTAACTCGAAAAGAACGTACTCCCGCTAGCACTAGCCAAGGAACTGCCCCCGAGAAACTGACCGTGTGTACAAGTATCGTTATAGAAATATTAGAGCAGTTCTATGCGGTGTTCGATACACACGCATACGCGACAGGTAAAAGTAGGTACGGAAGGGACAAGTTTTCACGAGGGGAATGTCACTAGAGTCGTCGCGGCACCGGTTTACAATACCTAGATTCGTTCGAGATTTCGATTGGTCCGTACGCGTCGTCCATGTTCCATGACTCGAACACATCTTACCAACGAAATGACAAATCGTCGCTAGGCGTCTTTCGTGTACCCGTGACAAATTTTTTTGGGGGAGAAAAATCTATGCGTGCGTTTATTGCGTATCGCACACGTACAGAAACGAGGAATTTCGTATGAATGTGTGAGAGTGTTGCTTAAAAATTGCGCAGATGTCGGTATATCGAGGGGTGTGAAGGCTCGAGAAAGACGAAGATACGCGATACGCAAAAGAAACCTTTGCACAAGTTCGTACCTGAAAGGGTAGGTAAACTGACGTCGGACAGAGAACTGTTTCGAATAAAGTCGAACAGTTTCGAAAATGGCGGCCAAGAGTGGTGGTAACGATGAATGGTCATCGATAATGAAACCAATATTAGCGGTATCGCAAGGATCGTTCGACAAAACCGAAGTAATCAAATTGGCAAAGAGCATCGTTAAGAGGTAGGGAGTTGTTTTGCGAATCTAGAAAAATTCTTTCAGGAATATACTTTGGTCGATTCGTTTTCGAGGATAGTACTGTAGCGATGACAGCCCTGAAACGGATGATCGTTGACTTGCGCTATTTCTCGAGCAATCTTTCCCTATCATTGCTTCTTCTTCTTTTGCAGCGAAAGCAAATTTGTCTCGCTTTGCTTTTCCCATCGAGAGGAGTATGAAACGTTTTATACGTCCGTGGCAGCTCTCGCAGCCGATTATCTGGGTGGTTGTGCCAGTACCTGTAAGTTTCTCGATTACGGTAACTACCCGTATCCACGTCCACACCGTCGTTATACTAACATTATTCCATTCGAATGTTCAGTGTCCAAGAGTCAAGTATCGATAGTTTGTCAAGCGTGCAGTGTACTTTTACATCATCTCGTGGACAAGCTATCACGGCATAAAGCTCAACCGGGAGATGGTAGTTCCACCGTGTTAAGCACAAAGCAACTGCTGCTACCTATACATGCTCTTTGCGTCGGCGAATCTTTACTTTCATCCTCCGAGGAAGCAGCTCTGTTGGCTATTACGAGAAACTCCGATGTACCGTATTGCGTACAGTCCTCTCCGTCTGAAAGCGAAAAGGATGCGCCTCAATGCTCGAAAGACGCTGTTCGACCACGAACCGATTTATCTAGCAGCATTCTGGAACAATTGACTATGCCGTTGCAAGATTACGCGTTGTCCGCACCGCTTGTTGTGGAAAGTACCACCGATGGAACAGGTAAAACCGCGGCCAACGACGGCGTTGCTAATGAGAACAATTCGGATGTAAAGGTTGGTACACTCGATGCTCGGGCGAGTCGACTGTTTCGAAGCTCGTTGCAAACCCTAAAACCGCAACACTTTGGTTTTTCAGGCAACCTTCATCGCGAATAATATAGGTGTCCTTCGGAACATCGGCGCTGGCGACACGTTGTTGGATATGTGTTTGAACCTGCCCCATTTGTCGCGCTACACTCGAAAGTACCAAGCGTATTTGAACAAGAAAGGTTTCGTATTCCCAGCGAATGCTCTGGAGGCACACGCTATACGGCACAGTCTGCCTTCCGTAGCTGGCGACATCAACATTGTGCACAATGTGATGTCGTTGCGTTTGATGGAACCGTTGACACCGGCCAAATTGGAAAAGCTATCGACGTTGACCATGTCTTGCTTGTACTGTTCGATCGCGTACGCAACTGCGTCTAGTATCGTTGGAATAACGAATGCCGTATCGCCGAAATGCAGCACGAATACGTCCGTTGGAGCGCAAACCGGTCAGAGCGGTCTGAAGAATACCGAGGAAGAGTACGATACACTGGCGATCACGGTCGTCGAGAAGAGTTTGGAAATATTTGGAATGGTTTCCAACGTGATCAAGAACAGCACGCGAGCTGGCGGTCACGTAAGAAATTCCTAGTCCTGATACACTCGTTGCTTTCCTATTTGACAATCGTGTGATCTTGCGCGTACGTTTCCAACAGATCCTGCAAAATCACTTGCTCATCGGTGTATGGCTGTTGGTGGCCGGCTTGCAAGCGCAACTATCGGTTAGCAGTTTCAGCGCGGCCGACAAGGGAAAAGAAGAAAAGGGAAAATCACCGAGCAAGGCGCGCGATGGTACAACGCGACATCTAATGAAAGTGTAAGGTGTTCTTGTCAATGTTGCTTTCGAGGTGTGATCGTCGTTCTCGTCGCTGGCGAACGTGTTATTCGATGTAACTGAAATTTCAGTCAACAAGGCTTCGGGGTGCTCTCGGTAGCTTTGGCTTCTCACGCGCTCGCGTTGATGAGCGCCCTTTTGGAAGACGTATCGGTCGAAGCGGTCATCGATCACACGGTTCCACCCGAACCAGCACCTTTAGACATACTATCCACTGCCAGCGCGCTTCAAAGAGCGGTTACTTTTCTTCAAGCCGTGCCGCTCAATCATCTTTTATTTTATTTGGCTACCATCAGTTACAGGAAGGTTGGTGATCGATACCTGTCGCGGTATTGGCAAGTTCGTTACATGCCGTTGTTCTGATTGCGCGCAATTCATTTACGCAGGCCTGCACGTTGAAGAGAGTCCAAAAGCATCCGTTCGAAGGTGATGCTCTGAGTCAGTCCGACTCGACGACGTACTACGAGGATATGTTAAGTTGTTCGGACAATACCGACGAAGGTAAGAAAAATACTACGACATGCAAGTTCGTGCAAGACGGTAACGAGTCTTGGAGGAAATGAATGCGAGGAAAATTCTTCTGTCGACAGAGGACAGCGAACCAATTTTGGGTTTATGGTTCGAGGAAACCATCGCTCCTTCGGACGGGTCGCCCGCGAACGGGGCGAAAGAATCCGGTAACGAAACGAACGTTGAACGTACCGTAACTACCATCGTTCCTGATAATCGTGAACCTCACGGGGTAAGGAACATCATTTTCCTCTGCAGTTCGAATGAGTTTTGCTTCCTTTTAACGAATCAGAAGCGAGAAAACCGAATTCTTTTCTTCGTTTTACAGTACATATCATTGGCCACAAAAATTTTTCAATTTATGAACCAACATTTGATCTGTAGTAAAAGTTCGTATGTGCGCGAGTACGTGGTAAATGGGCTGGTCGAACAACAGATGGTGATATTAGCGGCAATCATCAGAGAATTGGATCACGAGACTGCTAGAACGGAAACCGGTGATTATCGATTTTGTTCGTTTCGTTTCGTTTCGTTTGGTTTCGTTGATGAGTAACGGCCGTTCAACTTCTGTTCACGTTTCAGGCACTATTTCGGTATTCTACGGCGCCACTTTGGGTGCAATGTATTCCGAATTCTCTCAAGCCTTGAGTCGTTACACGCACAACTTGTTGGCTCGAAATACGTTGAGCGAAAGTTTACAGAACACCCTTCTTCAGCATTTGGGTGTGAATCCATGGTCCGGAACGGACAGTACGACGTCGTGTACGTGGCCTCTTCAAGTTTACCCGAGAACTTTGAGCGTGTTGGCACAGGTATACGTTATTTCAGAATATCTGCGACCCGACTGATTTCTTTCATGCTTGTACCAACTACAAAGCCGTCGTCGCTTCCGACAGGTTCTTCTGTTAAAACCGCAATTGGAGAAAGAAGCAGCTTGCATAAGTATTTGGCATCGTCTTGTCACGACCATGGTGGAAAATGTATGCAATCCACCTTCTACGTTCGAAACCGAAAACGAAGGTAAGTTGTTGTGCAACGGTCCTGAATCGTTACGGACACGCGTTCGGATGTCGTAACTCGTTCAACGGCGATAACAATTGACGTTTGCAGATTTGAACGTGGAACACGCGCAGTTGGTGCTGATTCTGTTTCATTCGCTGAATTTGATGCAAAAGAAATCGGTTCTGCTCGTAACCGGCAGCGGTGCCGTGCGCTGCAGCGAAGTTGTTAAAACTCCGATGAAGGATTCCCAGATATTGCACCTGTCGCGATTGTTACTGTTGCTCGAGTACATGATGAAGCATCTTTACGACGCACCTCCCGCGTTACTGAAGCAGGTACATCGACTCGGCCACGATTCTACGCATTTTCGATATCGTTCGGCGTTCCGTTCGACCGCTCCAACGAAGCATTCGCGTTGCTGATCATTCCCCGTTCTTCGCTCGATGGATTCGATTCGCATGTACTCTCGTTTCTTACACCGTTCGATATTTCGTCCTCATTCCCATTGTCGTTCGTAACGGGGACATGATACGCAACGTGTACGTTATTCGTAGTATCTTAAATAACGTTTAAACGACGAATGCGAGAGCAACGACGTTGAAATGACGCGCGAACAGCGCGACAAGATACCAGGGCCACCGAATCGGAAGGCACGTTCGAGTGGTAGTAAGAGTCTTGTACATTTTAGTAGTTTGCAACATTGCATACTTTTCAGTTGCCTCGTGCACCCGCGTAAACCCGCCACGATCATTACAGTAACTGGTTGTTTGAAAACGAATGACGCCGCGTGTCTGTAGGTTCAGTGGAATCTGTTCTCGGCCACGAGTTTGGTCTGCGACGCGAAAGACGGTAACAAACAAACCGCTCGAGTTTTCACGCCTTGGGCCGAGATTGAGGACAACTATCGAAAGTTCAGCAACCAGGACGAGTTCTCGATGAAACCTCGGTTCTACAATCTCTCTACCACGGATTTCAATAACCAAGATACTCCGAAACTGGATGGACTGGTTGGTATCGCTCATTCGTAGCCGGAAACGTTCCGCATTGTGTCCGAAACGAGGATTCGATGGAGTTGTTTTCGAAATCGATCTCGATTATTCTCACGTAGCTGTTATTCGCAGGCATGCAGTTTCATTCTGGGTGCACCCGATAAGATGAAGTATCCGCTTCTGGTCGACGCACTGATAGATATATTGAATGTCCTGAATCAAACGGACATGCCAAGGAAGACGGAAACCGAGGGCAAGGACAAAGCGCCATCGTTCATGGGACTGTGTGCGATTCGGTATTGCTTCTCGATATGTTGGAGGTACGACACATCCGTAAAGATATCGAACGACGGGTATACAAAGATTCGTGTACTTGATGTTTTGTCGCGACGTTGTTGACAGATTGTTGCTAATGTTACCGCCTTCTGCACCGTACATGGACAAATTGGCGCTCGGCGAGGAAATCCCGGCGGGACCGATGTTACTTCATTCTCTGATTTGGGGCCCTAGGGCGGCGTACAAAACTTTCACCCACTGGATGAAGGTAATTCTCGTTTGTTCGCATTCGATATCGTTAACCGACGCTGTCGCGTGGACGTGACGTCTGCACGTTGAAATGTGTCTGTTCGTAGGACTGTTTGGTCAGGCAAGGCATGTACACTCAATACGCGGAAAATCTTTTGAAGACTGTGTCCTCTACTATGGTGATTTCCGTCAAGTACGACGTTACGATCGCGAAAAATTGTATCACCACGTTGAAACCAGAGACGAATTTTCCCAATAACGTGATGCCGAAACATGCTTTACCGAAACTGAGTTCATTGTGTGTTCTGGCTGCGATTGTTGGGAAGCTGCAAGTCCTTTTCGACGATAGCATATCGAAAAGTCAAAACGAGAACATTGAGAACGCAAAGTGAGTCGAACCGTAGAGAAATTGTCCGCGCGCGTTGTGTCGGTGTCGGTGAAACGAATCCACGAATGTTTACAGAAGTCCACAGAACTCGGAATGCGGAAGCACGAACGCATCGAAAATGATCAGCGGTATTCTTCCCCATATTTTTTCGTTGACCGAGTCTATCTTGACCTCGTGCCGCTCGAGCATACTTCACCAGATGTTGGAATCGTTGGAACAGGACTGTAAATTCGGCCCACGGGATTACGTTATCCTGAACGACATTGTTGCCATGGCAGGCGCAAGTTGGACAACTGATGCGTCTCTGATCACTTTCTTACCCGCTTCCGTGAAATCTGTTCTCGACAAATGGAAATCGATCAACGTTGCTCACATCCCTTGGGTGAGTATGAGAACACTTGACAGTTGTTGCAGGGTTACGGTTACGATTAATTTGTCTTTTCGTCTTTTCTTCTGATTTCAGAATACTTATGCGAACGACATTATTCCGGCGGAAAGTTACATATTGGCAACGGTGAACCATCACGTGAAATCGCTGTCCGAATACCCAACGTTTTCTATTAATCCGTCGTTGAAAAGTTTACTGCACAGCTTGGTCACCTTTATGGCAGAATATGTCACGTGAGTCGTGCGTTCTTACCTTTTCCGTGTTGATTTTCCACGTGTCCGACAGACGTGTAAGGTAATTGGTCGAAACCTGTTGCTGTTAGGCCTGTCACGGTTCCGAAAAACTCGGACTTGCATTTTCAAGCCTTGGACATTTTGATCGCGCTCTATATGGATAGCCGCACCGATTATCTCCAGGTGATGGCGAGTAAAACTTTAACCAAACTGTTGGGCGACAGCGACAACGAGATGCGGCAATTGCGGGAGCATCTCTACATCTTGCATCAGACGTACGATTTGATTATCGAATATACGAGCGAAGCTCAAGAACCTGTAAAGTGAGTAACTTGTTCTCCGATCAACTTACTTAAATGAATCGTGTAACGCAACGCGGTTGCATATAACACAATTTAATGTTGCATATTTCAGCATTATCGTTGACGAAAAGATTTTAAAACGGTGTATAAAATATTGGGAACAATTGTTGGAAAAGCCGGTCGGCTGTATGGCCTTGGATTTGTTTTTCGCGACCATCACCAACAAAACTCTCGTCTCGGTTTTACTATGTGTAACATCTCCGCAAATTTCGCGACAATTTGCCAATCACGTGTTGCGCTTCTTCAACACGTTATTCAAAATGGGTAAAGTGAATCGATTTTCGCATGTTCCGCAAATGTGTCGTTTATTTTAAACGTACAAATTCACCTCGTCTCTCTTTGCTGTCGATAGCCGAAAAAGGAAGCGACGGATCAGTGGAACGTCTCTGCGGATCCGTGTTGAATATAGCGCAAGTGGAACCCGAAAAGCTACAAATGTGGTTGAAGCAAGTGATCTTGGGAGGAACGAGCATTTCACCGAGCGCTTCTTCGACCAACATACAGACACCAACGGTAGTAACCTCGAACGCGTAAGTATGCGTTTCGACGAAGCGGTTTATTCGTCGAGCTTTCTATAGAACGTTTCGTTTCGCTAACGATGCCGAACGACGCGGAATCGCAGGTTGGTTCTCGTTCCTGGTTCTAGCGACGATAAACAAAAATCAGACGAAGTCAACAATGTACCGAACAATGAGCAAGTTCAGTGGGCAATTATGTTATCGGACGGTTCGGAGAGCAACAATCAGTCGACCAGTATTACCGACGAGCAGCAGCAGCAACAGCAGCAGCAACAACAGCTCCAACAACAGCATTCTATGCATGAAAATAGCCGACTTTTACGCGCACTTACCAACTATATAGTGAAAGAAAAAAGGTGATACGGTCATATTCGATTGCCGCGTTCTCTCTCTGTACGCACGTATGTACGCACGTATGTATGCATGTATGCTTCTTTTCTCGGGGATACTGTAGCGGTGTAGACAAGGGTGTACCGGTTGCGATTCTACAAGCTCTCATACCACTAGCTTATCAAATTCTGTCTCCGACGATCGAAGGAAACGGTTTCTCGGAACTGATGAACGTTATGTCTACGTTGGCCGATGCCGGTGCCGAGAAGGGACATTCCTTGTTGTTTAAAGCTGCGACCGAATGGATGGAACTATGGTAATGCGTCTAAATTGTTTAGCTCGGCCTCTCTAGTCGTCCGTGGACAGAGTAACAGAGAGTTGACGTTTGCCCGTTACTTTGTACAGTAAGGAACAGTTGATGAACAAAGACCGGCAGGCGTTGTTGGATAAACCGTCGGCGTTTCTCGAAGCTGGTTGCTGCATACTGAACTACATAGCGGACGTGATATGCGCGGTTTCTCCTCGGTCCGTGCACTCGCAGGACAGAGCGACTAGTCCTCCGTGGGAGGCTAGCACGCCCGTCAACGACTTTAACGATAGCGACTGGGTCGACGACATTCCGCACGAAGACGAAGATAGTATCGCGGAGGATTCCGACGAGGATAGTCTTTGCAATAAACTTTGCACTTTCACCACTACCCAGAAGGAATTCATGAATCAACATTGGTATCACTGTCACACGTGTAACATGGTAGACGGAGTCGGCGTGTGCACCGTCTGCGCTCGCGTGTGTCATCGTGGACACGACGTGACTTATGCCAAGTACGGCAACTTTTTCTGCGACTGTGGCGCCAAGGACGACGGATCCTGTCAAGCCTTGACGAAACGTAGCCATCAAACGTCGGAGCATCAGAGCAACGGAACCGCTGATGCTGGCAACGTGGCCTCTAGCTCGATCAGCGGTGGTGGTTCCGCCGGTGTCGTTTCCACGAGCTACGCGGGCAACGCGCCCGGAACGTCGCACGAGAACCGAGATCTTCTCGCGGGCAATCTACGCAGACGCACCTCCAGTCCCGTGTACTTTTACGACAAGCAAGAGCGACAAGGTCGCGAGAAGCAGAGAACTTGCTATTTATCCGAGCAGCTAGGTGAGCGGTCGATTCCCGCGTTAATCTTGTCTGGATTCGAAGCAACTTTTATGGATTATACTTTTCAGAAGCATCCAAGGAGTGGATACACGGACACTTGTGGAAAAGCGGCCTGGTGCCGTCGTTGGTGGAACTAGCGCGCGCGTTGGTACCGACCGTGGATGCGTTTTGTCAGAAAAATTCAGCAGTCGGTTGTCACGCACGTGCCCAAATGGCACTGAAATTGTTGCATACTCTCGATAAAAAGTTTGAATACACGGATCAGTTGATGGTGCGTATACACAGCGTATATATGCGCACATGTATTCATTCTTGTAATTATATTCTGGTCTCTGTCGTGTTCTATGTAGCTTCCCACGTTGGGTTCGCAAGAGGGCGCGTTCGAAAATGTTCGAATGCATTACTCCGGCGATCAAGGACAAACCATCAGACAGCTGTTGAGCGCGCACATTATCCGTCGGGTTGCAATGTGTTGCTTGTCGTCGCCGCACGGTAAAAGGCAACATCTGGGTAAGTGCTTTCCATTCCGCGTTCCTTGGTACGGGGACGAGGTTTTCTCGATCGACGTGTGCTAGTCGAACGATATACTAACAGGCCGTTTCGTTTCGTTTTGTTTGTTCGACTCGCAGCGGTCTCGCACGAGAAAGGGAAAATAACGGTGCTGCAGCTGAGCGCGTTACTGAAGCAGGCCGATTCGTCCAAGAGGAAGTTGATTCTAACTAGACTCGCCTCTGCTCCTGTACCGTTCACCGTTCTGTCGTTGACCGGTAATCAATGGAACGAGGACTTTCTGGCGGTGTGCGGTTTCAGAGATTGTCACGTGCTAACCTTCAACACTTCGGGAACGGTGTCGGACCATTTGGTGTTACATCCTCAATTGGAAACCAACAATTTCATCATAAAAGCAATCTGGTTACCCGGCTCTCAGACTCAATTGGCGCTGGTCACGGCAGACTTTATAAAAATCTACGACCTCGGAAAAGACGCGCTCTGCCCGCAATATTACTTCCTCGTGCCGACCGGAAAGATAAGAGACTGTACGTTCATGCATTCGGAAGACGGTGTTTTCTATCTGTTGATCATGTCCTCGGCGGGTTACATTTACGGGCAAGCCATGGACGAGGAGAGTTCAGCGAAACACGGCCCTTTCTACGTGACCAACACTTTGGACGTGTATCACCCGGAGATCAAAGATATCGGACACGTCGGCGGCGGCGGTGTATCTATTTACTATTCGCATGCATTGCAGTTGCTGTTTTTCAGTTACGCGTGCGGAAAAAGCTTCATAGCGCCCTTGAAATACATGACCACCGACGTGACCAATGTATTTCAAATCAACCTTGCCGGCCATAAAAGTACAAACGGCAACAAATCGAACAACAATCAGCCGCAACCGTTGTGTCAGTGGAGCGAGGTGCCGAATCATCCCGGACTGATTTGTTCGGTTTTACAAACGAGCAACAATCCGGTAATACTGATGATCAAACCAGACACGATAATGATCCAGGAGATCAAAGTGATCCCCGCCAAGGCGAAAATAATGGACATGGTGGCGATAAGGCATCCTAGCTCGAACGCCGAACAACGAACAACTTTGATATTGTTGTGCGAAGATGGAAGTCTGAGAATTTATGTGGCTGGAATGGAACAAACCGGATACTGGATGCCAACCGTGCAACCGATAGGCGCGATTGCCACCGTGAAACCAACGAGGAAGAAGAAAGTCACGAAAACGGTGAAAACTCCGGGTTCCGTGACCTTCCCCATCGACTTCTTCGAACATTGCCAAGTGATGAACGACGTCGAATTTGGCGGCAACGATTTGCTACAAATTTATAACGTCGCGCAAATAAAACACAGACTGAACACCACCGGGATGTACGTAGTTTCCATGAAAGCATTAGGATTTAACGTCGAAGTCACCAATAATGATGCAGGTTTAGTTATGACGGGAATCAGAGTGCTTCTTGGAAGTCAAGATGTTCAGAGAGCGCCTCTTTATATCGAGGTAATTGTATCGTGCAGATTATTATTCCACGCGAACATTTGAAGTCTATCCTTATCGTCGATTTCTGCGGTTTCTCAGGTATTGGGCAGAATACTCTATACGACCGTAACGAAAAGCCGTTGGTTCGATATTCCTCTGACTCGAGAGGACAGTCTTCAAGCCGACAAAAAGTTGACCATCACTTTCGGGCCGTCGCAGGATCCCGAGGGCGTCACCATCGTGGACTCGATTAAAATGTACGTTTACGTGTCCGTTTCAGATTACATGTCGCGCGTGTCAACGCACCACTCATTCTTTGCGCTTGTTCAGATACGGAAAAACGAAGGAAGCGTTCGGTTGGCCCGAGGAAATAGAAGATACGCCGACTGGTCAAACAACGGCTGCTCCGGTAGCTACGATAAACAGCGACTCGGACAATGCGATCGCTGCGCCAACTCCGTTGTCTTCCGTCGATAGGTAGGCGAAGAACGATACTGTTAAGAGCACTGTGTAACTTTTGTCTCCGCCGAAATGCAATAAACTCGCGCGTTTTTCGTACGTGACAGACGATATCTTTTATCATTACGTGTAATGCTTTAGCTTCACGAAGGAGAATTTCTTTAATATCGAAAGGTAAGGAGAACTTGAGCTACAATTAGGCTGTACGAGACGAAACAGTAGGAAAGGTCGAATTAAATTTGCATCGTTGCTTGCCATCGTGCCAAGTTGATTGAATTATTTGATCGTAGACTGATCGCGGGCATCCTGGAGTGTATAGAGCTGTCTTTCGATGTATCTTCGAACGAGGAGAACAGATTGCCGTTGAAAGCTACAGCCATCGACGTTGCTTCCCGACTGTTGATATTGCCCACTCCGCCGGCGGTGCAAATGCATACGACCGCGCTTCTGTCTTCTCTGCATCCATCCAAACAAGCTTATCATTTACACAAGGTAAGGTGAACACCGAGACCCCATCCCCCCTGTAGACGAGTAACAGAGTTTTCGCTAAAAATGTATGTTCCTTTCACCAGGATCACATACTATTAACCCATGTACTGGATTCCTTGAAGCCGATGAGAAAACTGAGCGATGCGCGAGACATAGACGCGAAAAACTTTTACAGGCTTGTGCTGATCGTGCGAAGCATTTCCGTTTCGCGACCACAGAATCTTGCCAAGTTCACCGAGCAATACACGAATAAGCCGATAGATGAAACTGACGGTAAGATAGGAAACACGACGAGTACTATCTTGTAGATCGTACAGTGAAACTGATTCTCGTTTACATGGCTTGTTATTTTGTCCTCAGTGCCAATTTTCGAGAAAGATCGGCAGAGTCAGATCGGTCAGCCTTCCAGAAGCACGGACGAAAAACAACAGCATTTAGTCGTGCAGCTGATGGACATACTGTGGGCACTGCACATGGCCTATCCGAAAAATATGGCCTTGGCGCCGGTGGTTGTTCCGGGATTGACGAACGCCGAAGGAACGATACACGCGATTGTGGAAATAATTCACGCGTTTGCAACCTGCGATGTCGAGAGAAACGTTCCCTTGGCCGCAAAACTGTATTTGCAATTGTTACTTTCGTCGGATCCGACAGTTAGCTTCAGTGCCAAGCAGGCGATAATTCGTGTTCTCAGATTGAGGTACAAGAGGAGAAGAGTTTATATACCGAGCCCTCCGAATTGCAGCACGCCAGGTAAAATGGGAACGAAAGAAGCGTGTTTCGTTGAATGGCAAACTCTACGGATATCGTTGACCGCGGTGTGTTTCTGCCGAAACGTATAGGGGCGATCGCGGACTCGGAGGAGAAGCCGGAATTGCCGTCCGCTCAATCGCATCGAGAAGCTGCTACTGCCACAGCAGCAACCTCAACCGCCGCCGCCGCCGCCGCCGACACCGCCGCCGACACCGCCGCCGACACCGCCGCCGACACCGCTGCGGCATCGACTGTGGATCGAGAGGCGGAGCAACATTTGCCCGGGGACGTCGAATCGGTGGTGTCGGTGATGCCAGCCATGTCATCCGTCGCTACCCCGAGCAGTTCCACCGCTGGCAGAAGTTCCGCGGCTAGTAGCCGAGGACCAACTGCAAGAGGAATAATAAACTCGTTGGAAACATTTCTCGGAAACAATTTGGTAATCGTGTAGAAAGAGTAGTGATTCACTTTGCGCAGATGCGCAACAGTGATCGAGATCGACGAGGTCGTCGTCCGTTTTGAAATAATTCTGCTGAATTTCCAACAGATTCCGGACTTGCCGCGGGATTTTCCAACCGCCATGATGGAAATTGCGATGGCACTTAGCGTGGAAGACCAAGGAGGAGAACTCTCCGATATGCATGCTTTGATACAAGGATTCCGGCGAAACATGATCATGTTGCAAGGTTTCGCACCAGAAGGGTCAGCCCAGGCTCCACTCGTAAGGCGGGTAAGCAGCGAAACGAATGTATTCCGTTGGACGCGTTGAACGAAACATTTCATGATGACGTGAAGTCTGACACGCAGGCTCTCGAACTTTATCTCGGTGGAGATTATTCGGATACGATTGCTTCCGCTGGAGGGTCGGACGACGAAAGATCTACGGCCGCTACCGACGGTAGCACTTTGCGAACATCCCCGGCAGAGCAAGTGAGTTGTCCTACGGTTTTCCGAAATGCTGTTACTTATCGTTTACTTTCACTATTCTCTGCTCTTGTTGCTGTATGCACGATACGCAACGTGTGTAACACGCGAGAAATGAAAAATAAGAGAAACAAAGAAATGCTGGAGGGAGGTAGGGAGGTATGGAAGTATGGAGGTATGGAGGTATGGAGGTATGGAGGTAGGGAGTAGGGAGGTAGGGAGGTAGGGAGAGAGAGACTGCCGAAAGTTGTACATGAAATTTTAGTAACGATTGGGGCGCATTTTATGTTAGGGTGGTAGTGGTGGTAGCAAGGGTAGCGAGAGCGGTGGAAGCGAGAGCGGAGGAAGTGCCGTAGACAGCATGACAGGAGAGCATAACGTATCGGGACGGAGTTCCGCATACGGGGACAATGTTCCCGATTCTGTACCTCCGATGGGAGGAATTGGAGTCGATCAAACGCCACGTTCCGAAATTAATACAGTGGGCCATCACGCGACTTTCACCGTAAGTGCTGCCGTCATTGCCAACGTCGTCGTCGTCGCCGTCGTGGTCATCGCCATCATCATCGTCATCCGGCGTTACAGTTGCCGCACCGTTACTTTTTCGCACCCTATTTCCTCTGTCCAACGACGGTATTCGTTTATATTTAAAGCCGTATCATTTTTTAACCATTCGGCTTTGTTTTCTCTCTCTCTCTCTTTATTTTCTTTTTTCTTGTTTCGATTATTGTTCGTCGTTGTAATTTATATTGATTTGAACGGTAGATACTCGACGCTCGCCGAAATTCATCGACGCTGCCCTAAACCCCTCCGACCCCAAGTCCCCTCCCCGACACCTACACGTACATAGATCCGATTCTGTTGGTTCGCTGTAGAGTGTGTCCTACCTATGTTGAAACCTTCTTCGCGAACTTGCCACCCATCACCAGTACTATTACACCCGTGAATATCGAACGTCAAAGTCAATATCTTGAACGATTCTTCGTTGCGCATTCATTTTTCTTCTTTACTGTTATACCGGAACAATGCTATTTAACGAAGCAGACATTCTGACTGTACATACGCGCACTACATGTGCCGAAATTGTTTCGTTAGGCCACCGAACAGGAGGAAGGAACGGAACAGGAACACACTACCGAACAAGAAAACGATACAGGTTGCGAAACCTCGGCGAAATTGTACACCGTTCGATTATTGTTGCTCGACAAGTTTGTACAGTTTATACCACATTTAACGAACGTGCCCGGTGTGATGGCCATACCGTTCATGCAGGTTTGCATGTTTCATTTCAATTGAAACGCACACCGAAACCTTGTTGCTTCTATATTAAAATCTCTAATGGCGATGTACCTTTCTTTCAGGTTCTGTTATCATTGACGGCACACCTCGACGGTCAAGAAGAGAAGGACAAAGCATGCGTCGAACGGTTGCTACGAACATTGGTAAAGGAATTGGATCTGGATAAGCCAGATACGAATAATATATGTCAGCGTAACAACAAACGGGAGGTTCATTTGGTTATTATACGATTCCTGAGTGAGTGTCATGTTTAACATTTTCTCGTATGTGGACATTCTTTTAGAGTGAATACAATTGAACACTGTACTTTTATCATGATTATTATTATTATTATTATCATTATTGTTATTGTTATTGTTATTATTATTATCATCATTATTGTTATTATTATTAGGCATTCTAATGTCCCGTTGGAAGTGTACCGCGAAAACGCAATCAGAAAATTCAAATTCCGTTTCACAAATGGCTGCTACGATACTTAGTAAAGCAGGAATAATCGACTATTGTCTGACGCTGTTGAAAGCGTTGTTAGAATATTGGAAAACGTAAGCTACTCGCATGTGTTTGCAAATACATTGGATACAAAGAAAAAAAAATAGAAAAAAGAAAGAAAGAAAAAAGAGAAAAGAAAACAGGAGAAAAATCACTCGGATCGATTCGACTTGTTTCTCGTTGCGTTGCAGGACCTCGACGGAAGAATCGACCGGGACTATCCTCGGTGGTCAGTTGCTTAAGGAGCACCTCACGACTTCTCCTCCGAACATGTCACCGTTCTTTTTACGTCATTACATCAAAGGACACGCCGGTGACGTGTTCGAACCGTATCCACAGTTGTTGACCGAGATGGTGTTACGCTTGCCGCAGCAAGTTCACAAACACGCGGAAAACACAGGTGCCCAACCTGCCTTTGAACAGCCTTGGTACTTTTACCTATGCGAATATATGATGTCTTATCAGACGCCATGCGTCAGACGGCAAGTGCGCAAGTTACTTCTTTTCATTTGCGGCAATAAAGAAAAGTACAGACAGCTGCGCGATTTGCACGCGTTAATTTCACACGCTCAGGTAAGTGACGGCAAAGGTTTCGCATACGAGACGTTTGTCCGTTCGTCCGTTTGTCCGTTTCTTCGAATCACGTGTCTCTGTGTGTATTATCGTTGTACTTTTTCTTCTAGTCGGTGCAACAGTGCTGCGCCGCCGGCGGTTTCGATCCCTCTCACACGCGACCACACTCTATTAACTTGCCTTACGACTCTTTAGTAGAATTGATCGAACATTTGAAATGCTGTGTCGAAATTGCTACCAGCCGGACTGGAAACTGGCAGCGGTTTTGCTTGAAGCAAAACACAGTGTTGTCGTATCTGTTCACTGTGTCGACGCTATTGGACGAAGGTGTCAGCCCTACGGTGTTGCAACTGTTGCAATGCGCTATATGTTTAAGCAACAAAACCAAGGAGCGGAAAGAGCCGAAAACGAAGGTAAGCGATCGTTGGTTACGAAGGTTGCGTCGCGTTTCCCTGGTTGAATCGGGCTTTCGCGTTTAGGAGTCGAAACTGGGTAGCACGGGGACAACGAAGGAAAGGCGAGAACGCGAAAACTCGGAAGACTCGGACACGGAAGAAGCGAAATTCGAGGAAGCCAGGTGCCTGGCTCTAGTGGAGCAAATTCAAAAGCAAGTGGCGCCAAGCTCGTTGACTAAATTTATTCAGGCGTTTCTGCTGGAGACCAACAATACCAATGTCCGGTGGCAGGCGCACTCTCTGATACTGGCCATCTATAAGTAAGCGATGTTTTAATTTGTCGTGTCGTCGCAGACGCGAAAGGGAGAGAGGGAGGGAGGCGGTGGTGCGAACGAACGAACGAGTAAGACGAGACGATTTTCTAGGAATTGCAGCGCAGACGATCAAGAGGTATTGCTGGATCTGTTATGGAGACTATGGCCTCTTCTGCCTAGCTATGGTCGGAAAGCTGCGCAATTCGTGGATTTGCTCGGCTACTTTTCGTTGAAGACACCTCGCACCAGCAAGAAGATGCATACTTACATGGAGCAAGCGGTCGCGGTGTTGCGCGCACAAAACCAGTTGCTGGCTAGACATCCGAACGCGAATCTGTACGCGAATCTCGCTCAGTTCGTCGAACTGGATGGCTACTATTTGGAAAGCGAGCCCTGCTTGGTTTGCAACAACCCCGAAGTTTCCATGTCGACGATTAAATTGTCTTCCATCAAGGTCGACTCAAAGTTCACGACGACCACTCAGATCGTAAAACTGGTCGGAAGTCAAACGATCAGTCGGATCACTCTTCGCATAAGTGATCTGAAGCGGACGAAGATGGTGCGCACGATCAACATATATTACAACAATCGGTCGGTCCAGGCGGTGGTGGAGTTGAAGAATAAGCCCGCCATGTGGCACAAAGCGAAGAAAATTACGCTGGCGCAGGGTCAAACGGAGATCAAAATCGAGTTCCCGTTACCGATCGTCGCGTGCAATCTGATGATCGAGTACGCCGACTTTTACGAGAACATTCAAGCTTCCTCCGAGACTCTGCCGTGTCCGCGGTGTTCGGCGAACGTCCCGGCGAATCCGGGTGTCTGCGCCAACTGCGGGGAAAACGTGTTTCAGTGTCACAAGTGCCGCGCGATCAATTACGACGAGAAAGACCCTTTCCTCTGTCACGCCTGCGGTTTCTGTAAATACGCGAAATTCGATTACACCCTCACCGCGAGGCCTTGCTGCGCTGTCGACCCGATCGAGAACGACGACGACCGGAAGAAGACTGTGGCGACGATTAACGCGTTACTCGAGAAGGCCGACCGAGTGTACAAAACTTTGATTTCCAATAAGCCGACTTTGGAAATGTTACTGGTCAAGATATCCGAGCATCGTTTGGATCGCGGTTTGGACGAGGGGACCGCGGGTGGCGGTATACAGGTGTCCAGCGGGAGTACGCAAGTGAACAGGGCCATACAGCTGCTCGCTCAGAAATATTGCGGCGAGTGTAAGACATCTTTCGAAGAATTGAGCAAAATTATACAGAGGGTGTTGGCGTGTCGGCAAGAACTCGTGGCTTACGATCGTCAGCAACGAGGTCAAACGGTCGTGTCGAGCTGTTGCGCCGCGCCGCTCGCCAGCGAATCGTCCGCGGCGACTCTCGCCAGAGAGGAATCCTCGTCGGGAATGATGGAAAGGGAAACGATGGCGGACAGGGCGGACAGAGCCGACGGTGCCGACGGGGGCGATGGAGCCGAAGGGAGCGATGGAGCCGACGGGGGCGATGGAGCCGATGTGGCCGACGCGGCCGACGCGGCCGACGGTGCTGACGCGAGCAATGTCGGCACGAGCGCCGCGTTCGCCGCGTCCGAGGAGGCGACAGCTCAACCCGTCGTCCCCGCGAGCGTCGCTCCGCAAACGGTTGGTCGTTGCTACGGGTGCGCAACCGCAGCCACGGAGCACTGTCTGACTCTTTTGCGCGCTCTCGCCACCAATCAAGGCGCCAGAGAGGTTCTTTGTAAGCAAGGTCTGATCCAAGAGCTCGTCGAGCATAATCTACGCAAAGGTACGATGCAGATGCAGGAGGAGGTTCGTCAGCTGCTGTGCCTAATCACCAGAGACAATCCGCAGTCCAGCAAAGAATTGTGCTCGCTGTTGACCGGACGCATCACTTTGACCCTTCGCGGGCGGGTGCCCACGTTGGACCTGTCGGTGGCGGTGCGACACGAAATGGCGTTGTTGGCGGCTCTCGTTCAGAAAGAAGACACCTGCTGGGAACAAAAGTTGCGGTGCGTGATGCAGTTGTTCCTGATGGCGTGCAAAGAGTCGAAGAACCCCGTTGTAATGGAGAGCATCATAGTGCCGTGTCTAAAGATACTCCAGAGGCTGATGAAACCGGAGCATCCGGTACTGAAGAAGGGCAAGGAGAAAGCTGCGGAAACGTTGGCGATTGTGCAGCCGCCCGAGGGCATCACCATCGACGTGAACAAGTGGCTGAACGGAGACCCGAAACACTCGTATTCCGAGTGGATTCGTCGCATGCCGAGGAAGAAGACTGCTCCGCCGTCCGTGAAACCGTTGCAAAAGGAGGAGACACGCGTGCTCTATCTAATGGAGAAGTACGGGCACCGATGGCGCAATCGTTGCGCGAGGCAACAGGGCGTGCAACCGCTGAAACTGGCCGACGGCGCTTGGTTGAAGGAGGTACTGTTCAATCCCAGTTCGCGACTCGCGCGGCAGGTCGCCTGCTATATGATCGAGAGCCTTTGCCAAGGAACGGAGCGCAAGAAGGAGGTGCTCGTGCTGCTGACCTGCTACCTGGAGGAGTTGCGCACAGCCGGCGAGAGCAGCACCGAATTTCTCTCGCTGTACGAGAGCTTGATCAGGCAGCCTCCGTGGAAGCAGTTCTTGGCTGTACGGGGCGTCATGACTTTGCTCGCAGACCTCTTGACCAAGGAAATCGAGCAGCTGCACCGACTCGAGGAAACCACGCTGACCAGTGATTTGGCGCAAGGTTACTCCTTGAAGATGCTGACGGTACTGCTGGCGACGTTCCTCGAGCAAGAAAACATCAAGCAACAATACAAAGGGCGGCTGGTGGGAGCCGTGCTGAACGGTTATCTGTCGCTGCGAAGGCTGGTGATCCAACGGACGCGACTCATCGACGACACGCAAGAAAAGTTGCTCGAACTGCTCGAGGAAATGACAACCGGCACCGAAGAGGAGACGAAAGCCTTCATGGCCATCTGCGTCGAGACCGTGCAAAAGTACAGCATCGAAGACGTGCGCACGCCAGTGTTCATCTTCGAGAGGCTCTGCTCGATCATTTATCCGGAAGAGAACGACATCGGAGAGTTCCTGCTCACTCTCGAGAAGGACTCGCAGCAAGAAGATTTCCTTCAGGGCAGAATGCTCGGCAACCCGTACAGCAGCCTGGAGCCCGGATTAGGGCCGTTGATGCGAGACGTGAAGAACAAGATTTGCCAAGATTGCGAGTTGATCGCTCTGCTGGAGGACGACAACGGAATGGAGCTGTTGGTCAACAACAAGATCATCAGTCTCGACCTGCCGGTGGAGGAGGTGTACAAGAAGATCTGGCTGTTGGAGGGCGGAGGGTGCGATTCGATGCGGGTGGTGTATCGAGTGCGGGGGCTGCTCGGGGACGCGACCGAGGAGTTTGTCGAAAGCTTGAACGCCAACAGCGAACAGGAAGTGAACAACGAGGAAGTCTACAAGATGGCGAACGTGCTGGCGGATTGCGGAGGGCTGCGGGTCATGTTGAACAGATTGGCCGCCATACAGGACGTGAATCGAGCTCGACCGCTTCTTCAGGTTCTCCTGAAACTGTTCCGACTGTCGGTCAAGGTGAAGAAGAACCAAGAGGTGCTGAGCAAGCCCGAGCTGGGAGCTATAACCGTGTTCCTGGACGTGTTGCAGCGTTGCCTCGAGACCGAATCGGAGAATTCGCAAGCCAAGATCACGGAACAGTTGTTGGATATCATGGAGACGATTCTGACGTACGCGGCCTCGCAACCGTTGTCGAGTTTCGAGGCTTTCTCTCACACCTTGGGCGGGCCCGAGCACATCAAGGCGCTCCTCTCTTGCACTCAATCGACGGCTGTCAGGCAGAGTAGCAACGTGCTCGCGCACCTCGCGCGAGTGCTCGCCGCGCTGACCTACGGCAATCGGGAAAAGATGGCTTTGCTGTGCAACTACTTCGAACCCGTGTTGAACATTTATAAATTCGACTTTGAGCATTCGCTGGAAGACGAACAGAAGCTCGAACTGTTCTGCGTCCTCACCCAAGCTATCGAGCGCAACGCTATCGGAAACACTCTGAAGGACTACATAATAAGCATGGGCATCGTCAAGGACGCTTTCGAGTACATAACTATTCACTTGCCTTGCGTCAAGCCGACGCTGCTGCGAACCGATAGCGACGAACTCAAAGATTTTATATCGAAACCGGCGCTCAAATACATCCTACGATTCCTCACCGGGCTGGCGACCGACCACGAGCCGACGCAACTGGCGGTATCGCAAATCGCGATCAGTATAATACATAGACTGGAGCAGGTATCGTCGGACGAGCATGTCGGTTCGTTGGCCGAGAACCTCCTGGAAGCGTTGTGCACGAACAAACGTGTCGCCGAACTGATCGAAGAAGCCCGGCAACACACTCGTAGCGAGAAGAAACGCTTGGCAATGGCGATGCGAGAAAGACAACTGGGCGCGTTGGGTATGCAGACCAACGATAAGGGTCAAGTGGTGGCCAACGTGACGATTCTTCAACAAATGGAAGATCTGGGCGACGAAACGGGACTGGTTTGCGTCATCTGTCGCGAGGGATACAAATTCAAGCCAAACATGGTAACACGCTCGAGTAATTGTAAACGTTCGCTCGGCATTCGACGAGCGGTCTCAGTGTTCTCTCACTCTGTTTCGTCCGGTTTCTAGGTTTTGGGCATTTACACGTTCACCAAGCGCTGCAACGTGGAAGAATTCGAGACGAAGCAGAGGAAAACGGTAGGATACACGACCGTTACGCATTTCAACGTGGTTCACGTGGACTGTCACATGTCGGCGGTAAGATTGGCGCGCGGCCGCGACGAATGGGAGAGCGCAGCCCTGCAGAACGCGAATACCAAATGCAACGGGCTTCTACCGCTGTGGGGACCCCAGGTTCCGGAGTCAGCTTTCGCCAGCTGCTTGGCGAGACATAATACCTATTTACAAGAATGCGCTAGTCACCGCGATATCTCGTACTCCTCGACCGTGCACGACTTGAAACTATTGTTACTGCGATTCGCTCAGGAGAAAAGCTTCCACGAGGACACCGGAGGCGGAGGACCCCAGTCGAACATGCACATGGTTCCCTATTTGATCCACATGGCACTCTACGTGATTAACACGTAAGCATAAACGAAATGGACCGCCGTGACGCATTACCATTATTTTCATGTATGTTATAATGTTCCGTTCTCTTCCCCTCCCTCTCGCGTACATGTTCACAGTACACGATCCGCGGCGCGAGAAGACAAAACGCTAACAGGATATTTAGAAACACCTCCCACCTCCGCCTGGCTCGAAAGCTGCTATGAAGCGGAAGGACCGTTTTATCAGTGCACGATGTCTCTTCTGCTCCTCACGCCGGCTCGTTGGAAAGCGTATAAAATCAATCACCTGAACAGATTGATCGTTCTCGCCCATCAACGTTACGTTTCACCCTCGGCTGCCACCAAGACTATCGTGGACATTACAGTCAAGGATTACACAGCATATAAAAGCGCTTTGATATTCTTTGGTCTAGTCGATTGTATTTATGCAAACTTCTTCAAGGTACGAATCCCTTCGCCGGCCTTCCGTGGGCCAACCGTAATAGAGTAGCGTTTCATTCTGTTTGCCATGCTTGCGTGTCTGTTATTCCTCGTTTCGTTTCAGAAAGTTAACGTGCTTTCCGACGACCAGTGGCCTTCGGTTCTAGCTGAATACATTAGACACAACGACGAAGCCATGCTGAAAGCTTCCGAACGTGTGCTAGCTACTTATCGCGACGAACTGTTACCTTGTACATCCTTTGAAGAGTTCTGCGATGTTGTCGGTAAGTGACGAGAGAGAAGAAAAGATGGAAAACGCCATTCACCGATTATATTGCGATTTTCGTTTCAGGTTTATTGGAAGAAATAATGAATCCTTCTACCTACATAAGTGACATTCTACAAAGTCTCGGTTAGCGAATAACCCATGAAATAATACGAATAGGTGAATTTAATTAAATTGAAAGAAAAAGATGGTTCTTTTACATAAATGTAATAACACTTGTCCTCAAAATGTCCGGTTTTTCTCTGTTTGTTTGTTCTTTTTTTTTCTTTTTGTTATTCTTTCGTTTGTTTCGGCTTCGTAAACATTATCATCGCGTTCGTCTGCCCTCTCAACTCCTTCGTCGAGTCTCGACTACTATCGGCTAAAGGAAAATGCAGTTAATATTCTCGCTTTGTAAATTGCGAGTTAACTTGCTTTCTGTAGAAGAGAAATCCATTTACTGTATTATCGCGCGTGTTGTGTTACTCAGCTCTGTAATTGTACGTTGGAAAAACAAGTCTGTGCTTTAATAAAATATCAAATATTCATTTGCAGTTGTAATTTTGATACGAAACTGTTGGCTCCCGAATGAAAACAAATTAAACGAATTAAACGAATCGTGTCATTCTTGTTTGTAGAAAAAAAACGGGAAAAAAAGAAAAAAAAGGGATATCGAGTGCAAGAAAAAACATGCTATTTTCAGGTACGAAAATATATGTTTATTCCCGATTTATTCACATAAACGTTTCGATACAAGCATCGTTTTGATTAGCTTTCCGTCCTTTTTCTTCTTTCACATAACTTGAAATATTATACACGGTATTTGTAAAACTTTGAGATATCTCTCTGGGTATTTTCAATTTGTGAGTGTCATGCACGCCCGTCTCTATGAACTGACAAGAGAGAGAGAGAGAGAGAAAAAGAAAGACAGATAGAAACACCTAAAGGAAAGGCAAACACAGGGCAGGAAGAAGGGCGAGCGAGAGAGAGAGAGAGAGAGAGAGAGAGAGAGAGAATGAACGAATGAATGGTGTGTGTACGTATTGTGTTCACACGTGTGTTTCCAACTATAGAGGACAAAATGCATATCCGAATTTTGCAAGTGACAAAGTTGTAAAAATGGAGCGATGATTATTTATACAATAAATATCGAAACGATGAGTAACAATCGTTCATTTACGTATAGTTCTACTAACGATAGTTTATGTTCGCGTCCAATTACTTTTTCTTAATCGTTAATTCAAGCTTGACTATTGTCTAATACCTTAAATCTATTCGTCTCTTAACGGACTCTCACAGTAGATTGACGCTCGTATATTTTTGAATATACGTTTTCCGTGTTGCGAGCTGCGTTATTAAAGATTGGTACACCAATTTTCGTGTTGCACGGAAGACGAATCTCAACTGACGAAATTCTGAATGATTCTACAAACGAAAATTGCGAAAACGTACAAGACTAAAAAAAGAATGTCTCTTTAACGTACATGAACGCAATTTAGAGAAATTTCTTGGACCTGGCAAGTAACCTGTTTCTCTTTTACGTATCACTCTTCCATAATTTAATCGTTTTATCACTTTCGAGAGCGGCTGAGGCTATAATGTTATCCGTAGGATGACAGGTCGTGCAGAGCACAACATCTACGAATCAATAGAAAAATCGTTATTACTGCTTCTTTAGAAATTTTCTATTATAATTCGGCTGTTGCTATACCTGTGTGACCTTGCAATTTTTGAACTATTTCTTTGGTCTGTAAATTCCAAATATATACCATATTGTCTTCAGAACCAGAAACAATCCACTGCAAAAGATAAAGAAAAAATGAGCAAACCAACGCGACAGAGCAACGAGTACTAAGAAAAAACCGAAAATTCACGAGACACGAATCACATGTACCTTTCCCCCTGTTACAGAAAAATTTGCGAATATACAATATTTCTCGTTTTTATGTCCGGTATAAGTTTTCAGACACTTTCCTTTACTATAGTCCCAAAGTTTTAATGTATTATCTAGCGTGGCCGCTAAGATATATTTTCCATTTGGTGAAAACTTTACAAAGGACACTGGCGGATTATCATCGTCTATTAAAGTTTTTAAACATTGACCGGACGCTGTATCCCAAATCCGACTGTAAATTGTATATCGGGGTTAGTATATTTCCAAGTTATTTCTTTCCGCATAATTAAATACATTCCCATGTATTTATGGAAATCGAAACGCAACTATACTCACCACAATCCATCGTAACTGCTAGATACTATCAGCGATCCATCTCTATTAAAGTGCACTGCGCTTACAGGATCCGAATGAGCAGGTAACGTCTTCAAACATTTTCCGGTCCTTACATCCCATATTCGAACGCTTTCATCAAACTAACGATATTCTTTATAATATCAATATTCTAAGTGAGTCGATTTAAACAAATGATTTACGCGAGCAAACTTCTTTTTATATCAACGTGTAATGCATTCTCTGCAATATTCAATCTATATTGTTATCTACATATATACATGAATGCATACATACATACATACATACATACATACATACATACATACATACATACATACATACATACATACATACATACATACATACATACATACATACATACATACATACATACATACATACATACACACACACACACACACGCACGCACGCACGCACGCACGCACGCACGCACACACACACACATACATCCACACATACATACATATATGTATATACATAAAGTAATATTTTCAGTACTTTGTCATACAATTCTGTTTGACACGCAAAAATTTAGAAGCTTGCACGCATAAAAATGCTTGTAGAAATACTTACAGAACCGGATACTATAAGATTTGATTGTGGATTGAAATTACAACAAAAAACGTAATTACTGTGACCTTTTAAAGTCTTCAAACACTTGGCCTGAAAGTAAAGAAAATAAAATACAAAAGCTGAACATTTAATTGTCAATGGTAAAATATTGGAAAACAAACGAGGAAATGTAATTTCCTTGATGCAGAAATTTCATAGATTAACAAGTTCACGCTGTTCAAATGATTTCACGTGCAAACTTACAGAACTTAATTCCCAAATCTTCAATGTTTTATCGTCAGATGCGGATACTAATAGTCTACTGTCACTGGACCAGGCTACGTCCGAGATACCTAGTTTATGACCAGATATAGTTTTTTCAAACTTCCCGTCGTACGATCCCCATATCTTTATCAGTTTATCTGCAGCTGAAAATGAACAATTCGGTTTCAGTCTAATCGTTCTGTAGCTAGAAAAACTTTGAAACTAAGAAATTCCATTTACAAGAACTTGCAAGCCATTCTCCATTGGGACTAAATTTCACGGAAGAAACTGCTTTAGTATGACCTGCCAAGGTGTACTTTAGAGTATAATTTGGTTTCTGAAAAGGGAAAGATGAAATAAAATATAAAAAGGAATATAATGGCTTGAATAAAGACGGGACACAGAAGAAACATTGAAAAAAACTGAAGACAATAAAGATGATTGCAAAACGAAAAAAGAAGCAGTGTTTGCTCGAGGCGTGCTCACCAGCGTCGAACTGCTCTTGGTTCCACTGGAAGGAGCAGCTGCCGCATTATTGACGGATGTTTGATGTCCTGGCGATGGTCCGAGAGGTACCATTTTCGAATTAGTCCTTATCGATGTATCAACAATTTATGGAATAGAAAACGGCGCGTACATATGAACGAAAACTACGATAAATCACACGAGAAAACTCTCACGATTCTCGATGCTTTTGCCATTCGAACCTCGTATGAAAGTTCAAAAATAAGTGTGTTACACTCCCCGCGTTAGAAACAAATGTATTCGTTTCAAATGTGTATCTCGGACAGCATCCTGAAGTTGCAACATACATACAATATAGAATTCTTCTTCAAATAAATCTTTTCATTTTATTTGAATCGCTAGCGCACATGTGATCGAGAAACATCTTGTTGACCAACTATTGCTACCTACCGAGCGTCGAATCACGAAATTATCATTCGAACAGGTTCAAACCCTGACTCGTTCGTTGTTTCTTCGAAACAAGAGCAGCTCTTAATTGTCGTTTTTGTCTGGTATCATTGTCTTTTGTATCAATGAAATAGTATTCTTGTCAGTACTAACTTTGAATTATTTACAGTACCTCGATATGTATGTATTTTCTATACATATGAAATGGAAAATAATAAAACCGCTACCTTCGTGACATTCGAGAAACAACTACAATTAGCGCCATCTCTCGTGCAGAAGAAAAGTGAAACAAAAAACATTAAATCTTTGGTTCGCGATGCGTTCTACTTAACGACAATTTTCATTTCGTTTAATCCAACATTCGTTTTACGTGTTTGTTTATTCTTTTTTAATCAACATTTACGTACACATCAATTTTCGTTACAAAACTAAATCGCAATGTTCATCTTTATGCTCTCTACACAGTAGAAATAAAACTCCTTTGTGCGCATATATGTATATATGTACATGTGCACAGAAGTATTATATATATATGTATGTATGCTTAAATTACGTGTACAAGTTTGAAATATTTCTTGCAACTCTATGCATATTTTTACACAGAGCTATTCAAAGGTGATTAATACAATTTATTGGAAGAAGATAAAGGAGAATCTCTATGCAATCACAAATAGAATCCGGTGTGGAACTGTTCGCAAGATTAAATAAAAAACCGAGTCTGCAAGAACTGGAGGATACTTTGTTCCTCGAAGGACCTAAAAGTACAGACGTTATAGAAATAAATGGCGCACATTCATCCGGAAAAACTCTTCTTCTTTCTCAATTGCTCGCAAAATGTATCCTACCAGATTATCATGGAACTGTTCGAATTAAAGGTTGCAACGCTCCTGCTATTTTAATAAATACGGACCATCATTTTCAAGTCTCGCGTTTGATCGAGATAATGACTGGTGTTGTGAACGTTGCCTATGCTGAATCGTTCAAGTTCGATCCCCTCGACACGGAACTTGAGAAAATAAATATTATTCAGAATTCTCTGTCCAATTTGAAAGTAATCAATTGTTATCATAGCGAACAATTTCTTCTGATGTTGCGTACATTGGACGATATGTTTCTTAGTAATGCCAAAATTGCCCTTTTAGCAATCGATAGTATGACGGCTTATTACTGGCAGGAGCGCGAAAACAATGTTGTTACAATCGATACTTATATAAAAAGGTTATTAAAACTCGTCAAAAAGCAGACAAACTTGTTTAATGTTGTAACAGTATATACCAAACCTTATGAAAGTACCATTAATTACAAAGCTAAAAGAAGTACAATAGATCCCTCTACGAATGACACAGAATGTAAGATACATTTACGCAAAGCAAACGGATTACGAAAATTCACATGTACATTAGAAAGGGGGGAAGCTATTAAACATATCTGTTACTCTGTGTCGGCGAGTGGTATTAAATGGGAAATCGACTAAGGAGAAGGATAAATTTCATTCTATTTATACATTTCATATCCGGAACAAAATGTGTCAGTGGAACAATATCTTATCTACGATATCTAATGGATTTAACAGTCGTGATCCTGCTAATATTACATGGGGTGTCTCATTTTTATTCGGAATCAAAGAGACTTCTTGTATTAATTTTGCTTCTTCTGCGGTAAACCCTCCAATAATGTACAATAAAATATAGGGATTGTCACGAGGATGACGCTTTGCTTTACCTCTTAATAATAAGCTGCGGTATATAAGAAATTAAAGATTTAAATATCATGTGTTTTAGTCGTATAAATATAAATTGTACCAGAAAGTATTAAAATGCTTACTTGAAGCCAGCTGAAATTAGCGAAGACGACCGTTGGCGTAGATCACGCAGTTCTCGACTTGTACTCGTATGAAAGATGTCTTCGATTATCTGTTCCACAATGCTAACATGCCGGATTGTTTCTTGCGAAGTTGTTTTTATCATGAGGAATCTGTAAATAGTGGACATTCGACGTGTTAAAATATTGCATTCGTCGGTCACAACGATAGAAAACTTCTAATATTTTATTTCAAAATATACCTGTAATCTTGCAAAAATGAGCGTTGTTTTGCGATTAATTGAAGAGTATGAATGATACGCGCCGCTATTTTATGCGACGTTTCACGTGCTGCGGCCGCGTCAGTTGCTCCTTACATAAAAATAACTGGAATAAATGAACTGCCGTTTATGTTATTTGAACAATGTACCGTATAATAATGTATACCCAGTAATAGTAATGTCCGTTGAGAAGTTGATATTTTGTTGGTCGATGGATTCTTTTTGAACGTTTCAAAGTCTTCGAAAATTGCAGCTGCGAGTGATTCCTCCAATTGTTGTTCTTGTTGTGTGGAAAATCGAATTTGCGTTCCCGCAAGGGCGTAAACGTGTATCAACAATGCTAACAAATTTTCGATATCGAGTCTTCGAAAATTGCGGGTTCGTACAACGTTACTCAACTAAAAGGATATTCGAAAAATTGATGTTCGTTCGATGACATGTACTAATTGCGGAATTACATGACTGAAACGGTATTACTGATTATACTTGCGCGAGTATACTCGAGGACTCCCGGCTCACGGAAAGATTTTGCAATGCCAATTTCTCTAAGCTGGTAAGGAATTCAAACTGACTGGTTTTCTGCGAAATTGATGCTTCAACTATCGCCATAATAGCCTGCGTTGTAGTGGAAATCTGATTAAAAGCAATCTATGCGTTTCCGGTGGGAAGAACAGAAAAGAAAAGGCAATAAATTACCTGCATCTTTTCTATATAGTTCATCATAGAATCGATGCTGTTTGTACCTTGAAGTTTGTTAACAGCTTTTTCTAAACTATGACCGGAAATTCTCACTGGTGTTCTCAATTTTGAACTATCCTTCATAGAGATATTGTTCAACATCTGATTTGCCGTAGTTAATAACTTTTTTTCATTTTCCGAAACAAAGAAATTGATCATAGATTTCTCTATACTCGCTAAACATCCAGGTACTTTGTACATTCGTAAAATTCCCTTAATAATGATACAGAAAAATACACGTGGTGTAATGGAAATTATTAAATTACATCTATGATGTAAATCTGTTAAAATATACGCCAACGCGTTAGATCATATTTTACCTCTGTCGTTCCAAATGCGGGAGACATATTAATCGCTACATCGTTATTGTGCTGTGGCAAACGTGGAAGTGCTCCCAATACTTTGGCGAGAAACGACTCCGTATTATTGCTAGTAGGAGTACAGAGGTCTAACGTTCGATCCAATAAAATAAGTGATACTCCTACTTCTTTGACTCGCGACGAATGCTATGCAGACAAAAATAAACAGTTCAACTTATGCTTTGTTATTTTATCGTTAGTTTGTTACTTACATTTTGATGAACACCATTAACAAAGTAGTTCTCCAAATTTTCTGCTAAGAGATCGCTCAACTTCCCAACAGAATACACTTCTATTTTGGCATTAAGACTGTCGAATAATTTGTAAAATGAATTTGCTATAAGACATATCTCTGCAGATGTATCTTCCACGATACTTGTGTTTAAAGGTGGCATTAAATCTCCAAATGGAGGTGTCACAAACAGATGATCGTTCAAAGGAGCAATTAAAAGTGGTACATGGATGATGCTAACAGAAGGATCCTACAAATGAATTTATCATGGTTGAAACAAGAAATTAAATGTAATACTGGTTTGTAAATGAATCGTTCGAATCAACTGATGGTGATAGTGATTAGACTACAGGTTTTATGCATTTACAAGACATTCAAATGTACAAAAGAAAACTCCATTAAAATATAAAAATTCAACAAATATTGATACTACTCGCATAAAAATATAAACAAATAATAAACAAACCTGCAACATGTTTTTCGAGATCATCCAAGCTTCGATATCTTTTTTTAATTTAATGTAATTCAACTTATCTTGTTTTGAATGGGTTGCAGGATAATTAGTAGTGCAACATGGAATACTACAATATATTGTCAAACTGTTGAACGTATTTTTAGCTAAAATCATTTTGATTGTTCGCTGATAGAATGCCGGATCACCTGTTGTGGACACGATAACAGCTTTCTTGGCATCTTTGACTTCCGGATACTAAAAATAATGAATATACTTTATGTTGACGATAAAAGATTTTATGAATGTGATAGTTGAATTCCTTCATTGTTTATCTTAATTTATGATTTAATATAAATTGTGAGCTCACTCGAAAATGATACATGCCGAGCTCGTGAACCGCAATCGCACCAGCATTTTTCAAAGCCATGTAACCATTGCCAGCTGCGTACCAGTGTAAGCATTCAGTCGCATAACGATCTATGTAAACCACGGCACCGTATACCTCCGCAAAAATAACCGTCCAACATTCGGAATTGAATTTTTTTATTCCAAAAACAATATTTGTCATTTTCTTCTTTTCTGTTTTTATAATTTCAATAGATGTAATTGCTTTGATTTTTCATTATACTTGCGCATAGAAATATTTATGTAATTTTCCTTATCCTGTTCTACCTTACAACCGATAACCACAATTCTTTATATTTGATTGCAATTAAAGGATATTTTAAGATTTCGTAGAAGTAAAAAAGCATTGGTTATTTTAAATAATGATAATACAGCTCTCTTAAATGGAACACAACACCTTCATCATTTAAATGGCAAATACATAATATCTAACCTACATGTATATAAATGTGTACATATATATGTATATATATATACACATATAAATAAGTAAGGAGGTGAAATTGCCTTTGCACAGCAAAATCGATATCTTCGACCTTTAATTGAATATCTTTTTTCTTTCTTCACATATCGAAACGCTTGGATGATCGAAAATCGCGTACTGTGTATCGATACCTAGTTTTCGATTTAAAGTGCAAGCACAGCCATTTGTCGAAGAAAATTCTAACCTAAAACAGAAAATGTTCGTGCGTCAGTGGGAGTGTTGTTTCGAGATAAAAAGGACAACAATAAAGAACCGTGATTTTTTGAGAAAGATTTAATCGAAAATCGTTGAAATACGTTTACTTGAAGTAGAAAAGAGTTTTACATTTTAGAACAGTACAGAATTTTGATAAAACCTGTTTGTTACGATTTCGCTTTTGTACTTGGCAACATTTGTGCTATTCTGCTTGAGTGTGTTTTCTAGCCATTTCGTAAAAAGTTTGTTTACACAAGGAGATAGAAAGAAATATCTGTTTTTAATCAATACAGGTTTGTTGATTGTATCGGTTCGACCGTGCCATGCTACTTTCATATCGACTGCAGCGATATTGTATAAAAGTTTCAAGATTGCAAACATTTGAATAAACTTTAATAGAATCGGGTGAAATTAATTGGCATTCTTCTTACACCGTGTTATTCGTTTTTACAGGTATGCTAAGTAATGTCGTCTGCAAACAGCATAGAATCCTTGGGATCGCTGCAGTGGGATATGATCGAATTAGCCAGTCATCTACGTCAGGAACGATTGTTTGTCAGTTCTGAACAGCAAAATTTGCAAATACTGAACGAGAAGGTACATCTTGAACGGCGATTAATGGAAAGACCGGATAGCCCATAGATATTACGGAACAGTAGCAATCACGAGTATCGTGTGAATGTTTTTAGGTGTTGTACGCTTCGTCGAATTTGGCTCAACAAGCATGGATCACGGCACAGCAGAGAGTGAATCTGAATCGACTGATAATGTCTAGACCCGATTGTACGCCGGCGTCCTGTTGTCAAAAAGCAAATACATTGGAAAATTCGCACTTTATAGATGCATACAAATATCTACGTTACCAGGCCTGTTTATCGTACGGAGAATTCTTGGGAGCGCTTAGGAAGTCTCCTAAACTGGTTGCTTCGTGTTTAGTGGAGGGAGAAAAATTATTACCAGATTCGGTGCAAAATATCGTACAATCACTGGCAGCAGGTTTATACGGTAGTTGCTTGTTACCGGAGGATAAAATTCTAGTGTTAAAGCTGCTGAGACATCTGATGTTGCTACAAATTGTTCCATCGGATAATCCTCGAAGGTTGCTCAGACACGGGACCTGCGCTTTTTCTAGGTTTTACTCGGTCTTTCATGAGAGCGTTTTTTCGGCTAAGTTTTTCTTGACTGCTGCTTTACATAATCCTATTGTACAGTTACTAATGGAAGATGAAATGTTTCTCGACATCGACCCGGACAAGGCACCCATAAGGTTCCCGCCATCCGAAAGATTGAAAAAATTTGGTAAAGAGGGTACCCCCGAGTACGATGCCAAGTTGCAACGTCACAGATTATGGACTATCAATTCTTTGTTTCGAATAACGCAAAGATTCATAGTCAGCATACGGGAGAATATGCACTGTTTCCCAAGCAGCGTTTGTTGGTTGGTTAGACAAATGGCGGGTCTTTTGGGGAAAAATGGGAACATTGACGCAAAGGAGGTTCACGCGATGTGCACCGACTTGGTTTTCACATATTTCATATGTCCAGCGATAGTGAATCCCGAACCGTATGGTATTACGGACGCCCCTATCAGCTACGTTGCGAGATTCAATCTGATGCAAGTTGGACAAATTCTGCAAATGCTCTCTCTAATGAAATATCAAACGGTAGACGGGAAAACGTTCGATCTTTACCGAAAATTCGACAAGGATTCTGTTTCGTCGATAATAGATGTGATGGTGGACAGCGCTACGGAAGAACTCGAAGATGAGCCTAATATCATTGATAGTAACAAGCTGCGAGGACTTTCTCGTTCCGCTGCTTTGTTCACAGAAACAGAGTTGAACACGCTGATTATATTTCTGCAAACTGTAGCTGCGGACACTGCAGTCGAAAACGATGGACAATCGAATGTGTTGGATGCGAAACAGTTGGTCGATATGCTGTCTCAGTTACCTCCCGGTTCATTGACAAGTAATAAATTGACTAATAATATTTGCGTTGATACTACCAATAGACGCGGAGGTTTCTTAGGAAAAGGTGAAGACGCTGTGCTTTTCGATGCTCTTTCTTTCGGTGGCTTCTCATTCGTGAAATGTGTACTATTTGTAATTTGCGAAACTTTGTTTTACTCCAGGGAAAGGACTCGGAGTAAGAGTGTCGTCGTCATCGTCGTCGTACTCGTCGAATGCGACCAACGACGGAGGAGACGAAGTGAACGGTGTCTCGACTCCCGAAGAGGAGTCTGCCGACAAGAGTTGTCAAGATGTCCTCGTGATTCCTTTTGGGCCGAACACAGGAGAATTCGTGGGACTTCTTAGCGAACAGAAAGTACATAGAATCATTCATCTCTGACGGTATACGCTGTAAAGTTTCGTTTGTCCAAGTTTTCGGTGTATCATCGTCCCGTTTGTCTCGAATAATGCAGGTGCTGTGTACAGAACTCGAGAATAATATGGAAAACGGGCCGGTTACACTGAACCTTTCGGATGCAATGAGAAATGTGCACGACACACGAGAAAGTTGTAGCGTCGAGCGTATCGAGACGCAAGAGAAGAAGACACGATTCTCGTTATCCCACAACGAAGGTACTTGTATTGAAATGATTCGTGTTTGATCTAATAATATGCGAACGTACACATACGAACACGAATCTTATTCTAAACAGACGTATGTGGTTTGTCGCGGTCGTTGCGGTTTGTAGTATATATACGCAGTCGAGCGCGTCGATAATGTCTTCCAGATGAGAACCCGAGCTTTTCGTGCTTCGTCCACGTTCATTGGGGTAAACGATGCCCGGTAGTTTGTTCCGTTGCAACGGCTGTGAACGAAGGTAGAAGGTAGAGCAACGTTTGGAAGGCATTAATCTACTCGACTGCGCATCCTTGTACAAGGAACTCGCGTTGACGTGAAATACTGTTAGTTTTATTTGAAAGCTTCATTGGAAACACATCGGATAACTTGGAGGCTGTATCGGAAGCTGCTTCGAACCACAGCGTTGCTTCTTCCCTCGAATTAGAGACGGAAGATCAAAACGATAATTTATCGGATATGGTGTCTGCCAGCGTTTCGGGGCGAGGAACGCCAAATATATCAGGTTCGTTGGTGTGCTCTGGCTAGGATAGCTTTACAGCTTTCCAGCGAAAGACACGAATGTTGATATTTGCGTAGGCCGCGACACGCCGTCCTCTCAGATCACCGAAGGAGACGATGGACGAGCAACCGGCGAAGCGCGACAGATGGATTTGCCTCCACCGAATATACCGACGAAACAAAGCCGGTCCGAAATAGACGACAAGTTTTGCAAGTTTGAGATCAAAAAGTTGATCGAAGGTAATTTAGAAGAGAAATATTGATACGACGATCGAAGGTAGAGGGGTAAGGGAAGTCGCGAATCGAACCGTTGGTTGCTCCATTTTCCAGGGGACGAGACCGTTTCGATGGTGTCCGACACGTGGTCTACGGACGTGCTAGCTTCGGACAGCGAGATGGTCGAGCAACAGGATAAGATAGCGTATCCTCCGTCGGGCGAACCGAACGCTCCAATTTTACCAACAGCGTCGGACTCGATTCCGCAAGCTGTGCTAGATGTCAGCGAAACGGCGTCCGAAGCATGGAGCACCGACGTGTTGGCTAGCGATTCGGAGAGACTGACCGAAGTCGATACCGACGATACCGCCAGTGTCGCAAGGTATAACTCTTTTACCATCCACGTTTAATGCGTGTACAGTGTTGGTCTCACTCGCAGATCCGATGATACCGCGAGATCCGAAATCGAAGTCGAGGCACGCAGCGAGGCAGAGGTTACCGACGAAACATTGTCGCACAGTAAGAATCCTCGCATATCCTTCCATGTCGCGGCAAGGATCTTTACCGTAATCTTGCACTTTATTCCTATCCAGAGCATAGCGTGACCTCGAGCGAGTGCGTGTCGACGATCACCTGCTTCGAAACGATGTCGAGTAACAGGGAGGGTGCGGGATTCTCCGCGACCATTCCGTCGTCACCGGCAACGTCCCCTTCCGCGTCGTCCGCGAATGCGACCGAACGAAACGAGAACGGGACCGATTATCGAGGGAACGCTCTGGAATATGTCGACAAGAATGCCAACAATATCGGTCACATTACGGATTACGGTAAATCGCTGGGCGAGGACACGTTGGTTCATCTGATAGACAAACTTCACATCGACGATGGGAAAAGTCAGATGGAACGTCAAACGAGCTCGTCTCACAATCATATCGGGATCGCAGCTGTTACGCCGGCCTTGCTGCTGGCCAATCATCTCTCGCCGCCGGTTCTGTCGAGTTCGGAAAAATCGCAAAACGCCGAATTGACGTTGAAATCGGAGGTCTGTGTTTCTCCACTTGTCGTTGCTTTCCGAGCCCGAGTCGTTCAACTGTGTGTTATGTTTGTCTAGGGACTGGGAAACGGCATCGCCTCGGTCGGTTCGACCGTCAACGAAAGATCTGGCTCGGAGAGCGCCGTCGGACTGAGCACTGGCAGTTTAACGTCGAACAGTAGCAGTTCTAGCTCCGAGTCTCGAACAAAGAATGTAACGAATTCGGCGTTGACGTTGTCGGGAGGCGCGTTGGTGAACGGAAACTGCGAACTGATCGATACCAGCTCTACCAACGATTCTCCGAAACCCATCATGTCCAGTGGCGCGATTCCGAAAAGTATTAGCTTCGACATGACGGCTGAACGCGGGGACAAGGAGCTGTTGGACGACGAGCAAAAGAACAAAAGAGGTTTCTTCGGTAAATTGAAAATGTCTCTGAGGAATCGCCGGGGCAAGACGATCCGTGGCACCGATGACAATATCGGCAGATGTTACGATCGAGAGGCCGCCGGAGAGAGCGTCGATGTAGGGCGACACAGACTGCGAAGAATAATGTCGGAGGATGTAACGTCGACTTCTTGCAACGTGACCATTGGTAACTATCGCCTTGCTTCGAACATAGGAAAGGACAATATACACCTTTGAACGACCTTTTAGACAGCACAGACGACATTTTGGCGAAATACAGGAGGAAACCAAGCGCGGCGAGTGACACGGCATCGATCGAAAGCAACCAATCTCGTACGAAAGAAACGGCGGAGGACGAAAGATTGCTCATCGATCCGAACAACGTGGAGTTGTCGTACGCGTTCGCGGATGCAAAGAGGAAGCTGCGCATGGTGCTTAGTACAGCGGACCTTCAACATATCCCTTGGACCGCTACAACCGAGGTAGTATTGTATGTTTATGATACTCGTAATCGTTTCACCACGGAAAATCTGGCCCGCTCGAAGCGTTAAAAGACGCGGAGATGGTTTTGTTTCAGCGAAACACGTGGTCACGAAAAGAAAACGAACTGGTCGCTTTTCTGCAGCTACAGCTGGCGGAAGCTATCAATTTACAAGACAGAGCGTTGATAGCTCACCTGCACGAAACATTGCGCTGCGTGCGATTGTTTAACGACGACGGATGTAGGAAGTTGTTCAAATCTTTACGCGAAGAGTATCAAAAGCGATCGCCTTACATCGCATACTTGATTCGATGTCGACAAGGTTTACTCTCGACTGTGGCCCATTTGGACAGGTATTATTTTCTCCTCAATTTCAACAAGATCCGCGCTACTAAGGCACAACGATTCACATACTTTGTAATTGCCCGAAGGTTGTGCATCAGAGTAAAGTGTGATCGTGATGCCGTCAACAATCACCTCGTATCCGTTTGCGTGCGGGTCTTTTTGGAGAAAAGAGAGTCGCTTCTCTCACGGTTTTGCGACGAATTCAAAAAGCTCACGCTGGCAGACGAGAAACAAGATTTGGTCGATAATTTCCTGGGAGAGGTCCACGCTAAAATGGACAATGATCCGATATGGCAATGTAAATAATAATCACCGTTCACGAATATTACGCGTCTTGTACCAGAATGCTCGCACGATACGAACAGCACAGAGTTCGGAGAAGCCTCTCGCTGGGTCTCGCTTTTGTTCGTTGCTTTGATTCGTCGCTTTGATTCGTCGCTTTGACTCGTCGCTTTGACTCGTCGCGCATTGGGGCGAGTAACGCATCGGTGTCGAAAATAAGGTGGGAACGCGAGAGAGAACAATTTCGCAGCAGCATTCTTGTCCGAGACGCGTACCAGTACTCGTACGGTTTATCATAATTATGCGCCGTCGTATTCGTAGGCGCGAGTGAAAATCAGCTGGCGTTGGCCAGAGTTGTGGTGGAAAGGACCGTAATGGCGCGTGTCTATCACAATGCTCTTTATCCAAACGGAGACGGAGACGTTTACAGAGATCAATTGCTTCACGATCATATTAAGAAACTGGCGAAACTTGTCACCCCCAACCACAAAGATCTACGTATTCCGAAGATATATCATTACGAATGTCCCTGGCCTTGGGCTCAAGCGGAACTAGCGGTAATATCAGCGTACAAAACTCCTAGAGACAAGTTGCAATGTGTCTTTCGTTGCTCCACCACCATTATGAATTTGCTTTCAATGGCAACCGAGAGAGGAGTACCCGCGGCCGATGATCTTATTCCTGTTTTGGTCTACGTTATTATCAAGGTCAGTCGTATGTCGACTCTTCCACGTATCGCGCGCGGTGACCGCCGTCTGTTCGAATCGTTTAAACTACTCGTTCTTCTTACCGCTTTTCCAGACTAATCCGCCATCCTTGCTCTCAACTATACAATATGTGGATAGCTTCTATGGAAATCGATTAGAGGGCGAGGAACAGTACTGGTGGACGCAATTCTGTTCCGCAATTGAATTTATAAAGACGATGGATTAACTTGTGTTCTTTTAATAACACAATACCGTTGGAAGTGTAGAAATAGTGTATAATAATTTGCATCATCTTTGTTGTCGTTGTCGTCAGAATAATCATAGTTTTGTAGTCATCGTAATTACTATTCTTCTCTTCTTCCTGTGCGTTATTACAGCATTATTCCAGCGTGGATACAGCCAGTCGTCGGCGGCAACAATATCGTTATCGTTATCGTTGCTATCGCGCTACTGTTGTTTCTAATTATTTTTTCCTTCTGCAACCGCTGCTACATTTACCGCTGTACAGCCAACATTACCAGTTTTACTTTCATTGATTGTTTCATTCGTTATTAGCTTCGACCTGTTATAAATATTACTGTCAGTGTCGCTATTAAATTGTTTTCCTTTCCAGTTGTTATTATTCTTATAAATACTATCGTGGTAGCACTATAAATACTGCTACCACTGCTATTATTTACAAGTAAATGGATTTATTTCTTCTGTTGCTGTTTTCATTGTTTATATTGCAGAATATCATTCTTCGAGCATCAACTATTTGTTGCACCGCTACAAAATTGAATTTTATTCGTATATATCTTAAAAGCAATAATACAATTATACGATATACGTATGTATGTGTATGTATATATATATATATATATATATATATATCTATGCAAGAAGCTTTATCAACTTTTTCTCTCTTTTTTTCTCGCGTTTTTTCTTTCCTCTTTACATTATGAACAAACATATCGGTTAACGAGCGATTACGAGACAAGCATATTAATTTCTGCATCAAATTTTCATTCTATTGAGAATTATCCCAATAACAGGTATCCACCTTGTAACGATATCACAGTCAAAAGGTTCAAGTATACAACTTACTGCTGTGTACATAAAGAAAACGTTTAAAAGGAAAAGAAATTCATCAAACTATTAATACCAAATAGTTACATAATATGTAACTAAACATATCCACTCGAACATTCTTGTAGGATTATGGAAATATTCGAGTAATCGGTGCCTCGCGTGAAAAGTTACTTTCTCCATACCCACTTTTACTCGAGCAGCTCCTCGAGTAGAGGTAACGGGGGAACGCTATTTTATGAAATGAAAATTTGAGAAATACGATAATGTCATCTAAAACCAGAACTGTCGTACCAATTGGCTTTAATAGATTGGACTCGTTGCTAATAGATGGTGTTACGAATTCAATGAATATAACGTGTTGGCGTGTATCACGAGCGGTTACCACTTTTATCCCTTCCACTGTCTCGTTGTTCATCAGCGGGTATCCCTCGACAACCCCGCATCCACCGCGGAACCCGACGGTAACGCCAAGGAGGGGGTAATGCTGTTCCCCTCAATTTCCCCGATCCGGCCAACACCGACCACGAGTAAGCTATCGATAACCAAGATACAAGGGGCTTTTCTAATTTCTACTGATACCCTTCCAATAACGGGAATTGGACCAACGACTGTATAGCTAGCCCTCTATAAGCAACTTTTTCATTTACATTTGAACACTTTCAATAATTTATCGAGTCTCGAGTATAGTATTTGCGCATTTTGTGTACCGTACTCCATTGAAATTGCGTGCGTCGCTGAACGCTCTTTAATCTTTTGTAATTTTGTGAAATTTCTCAGTCAGGGATGCATAAAATTGTGTAAAAATGTTAATGAAAGTTTTAACGTTTCATACGCTAAAAGGTAAGTTACTTTTCATTGATTTTCATCTGTTACTACCAGACCAAGTAGTATTATTACGATGAACGAATATGGACTGCATAGGAATAAGATCACAGAAATAATTCCTTGAAATACAGAAAACTTCTATGCAGGTAATCCGTCAACGGCGAAGGTTATATCTCGATTATTGTCACAAGCCATTGTTAAAGGTAAAAAAGAATGGGACTTGTTGAGTGCTGTTTGTTTGGAACGTCACCCAATTATTACAAAGCCAATGGAAGATATAGAAGCAAGATACCAAGATATGTTACGACAAATCGAATTTGAGAATAGTTTATTGTCCGAGACCGAAATACAAATGAAATTTAAAGAAAATCTGAATCAGAAAGCTGTGCCTTCGGGTACAAATATAGAAGATATCATGGCATCTAACAAAAAGGAACTAATGGCATTTAAGTTTGCACCACGAATAAATGGTATGTAATCGAAAATAATTTCATTAATTTTATAGCATCAAATTTTTTAAAACAAACACTACATCTTGCTCTTTAAATTATAAAAGCGGATGAAGGTAAAGTTGTATCTTTACAACGTAAATTAGATAAAACTTTAGTGTTATTGGTGGAAAAGCAATTAGGAAACACTAATGTATGGATTCCGCCTCAAAGTATACGTAAAAATACAGAGTCTATGATAGAGGTATGTATAATACATTTTGTATGATTTTTATAAAAATATGATAGAATAATTCGTTTAATGTCCATTTCTTTGTTTTTCTTTCAGACTGCACAGAGAACTGTTCAAGAACTTTGTGGTAATAATATAAAAGTACACTTTTATGGTAATGCACCAATTGGATTTTATCAATACCAATATCCGAAAGATATAAGACTCAAAGGGAAATACGGAGCAAAGATTTTCTATTTCTTAGCAAAATATATAAGTGGTGATATTTCTCCTAATTTAAATCACTGTTGGCTGGATAGGGAAGAACTGAAGGAAACTGTACACCCTAAGCTTCACGAGAGTTTGTCTCAATTCTTGTTACCCGAATAAGTTGAAAGTTGATGTGCCATAGGCGATTGAGACGTTACAAAGCATCTTCAATTTTCATTGAATTTGTTTCAGAAATAAAAGCTATAAAAAGTGTTCAATTATTAGGTGTTACTTGAACTCTATAGATTGGAATTGTTTGGAATTTGGATAAATTTTATGTTTGCAAAATTTCTTATATTTGCACGAATTTATATCCGTTTGTGTTTTGAAAATTATGAAATTGAAAACAAATAAGAATAATTGCAAAGTGTTTATACTATACAAGTATTCTAGGAGTATGCATATATGTACAGCATCGATATATGCGGTAGACCATCGAGTCGAAGCTATAAACGTAACAAGATGTTTCGTATAAAAAATATATGTAAAATTTTTATTAGAATCTACCGCATCTTCTCCTTCCAGTGTATTTTGAATCCGCTGGAACCTTCTTTCCCTGTTTTCGTCGTCTTTCTTTTTTCTCAGCAATCCAATCCCTGCTCTTTTTTAATGGTTTACCTCTAGCTTTCTTAATTTGCTCTCTACGAATGAAAGGACAAAAAGAAGTATATACGGTATTGAAAGTGACTAAAAGATTGATAAAATTTAAAATGTCGATAAAAAGCAATCAACCTTCTGGATGCATAAGAAATAGCTGTATCCGCATCATTTACACCTAAAGCTTGTGGAAGAACCATGGGTCCTCCAGTCATTAGAACCAAAAAGAATTTCTTTGCTTTAGTACTATTGGGAAAATCCACTACAACACCACCGTAAAAGCCAGCCTTTGTAGCTTGCGCTGTGACTAATTCGATTTGTTCATTGTTTTCAGGGTAAAACTGAAAAACAGCTCTAGCAGATCTCGATAAACACGAATACAAGGTGGAAAAGAATTGATAAATACGCTTTGATGGTTCGTGTGAACTTTTATCAGCATTGCATAACCATTGTAAAGCAGAAATACTGACTGCTCCATCGAAACTTCCTGCTCTGAATGGCATTCCCTGACCCATATCTCCCAAAATTAAATCACCATCGACTTCTCTTTCCAAAGCTACACCTGTAAATATGATACTGATAAGTTTAAATATAATCAGACGATTAGGAAATGATATACAGATAAAGATTTGTTTTATTTGCCTAACATTGCTGTAGATATATCAATTCCAATCCATACATGCCCATATTCTTCAATAACGCTACCACTCAGACCAGAACCACATCCGATATCTAGAAGTAAGGCGGTTTTATCTTCCGATAACAGAAGAAGCTCTATGGCACGTCTGCACATTTGCTCTTGTATTTCTATCATTCGAGAACTGTACAATTGTGAGTATAGATTAATAATTATCTATATAGAAAAGAAAAAAAGGCAGAAAAAATGAATATGCACAAATTGATAGAAAAGACCTTTACCTTTGCGTATACTTTTGAGCTTCGGATTCATTGTAGAACTGCAAGAAAGAAAGCACAGTCAAATCGGGGATTACAAAGTAATTAATAAATGAATTCTTACCACATCAGGTGGAGCCGAATGTTCTGGACGTCGCGACATTTTTCTTTTTCGTTACTTCTACGTCGATTCGTTTTTTTTGTTCATGAAACCATCGATAATTCAAATTGTCATGTATCACCATAAATATTACACACGTGGTTCATTTTTGAACGAATCGACATTTACACCATCGAATACGGTATACTTATAGATTCGAGGCCTAAACAGATATTTCGTGCAGTGAAATTTTGTGTAACGAACATTTATGATAATCGGTGAATTACATAATGAAACTGTAAAGCAAAATAGTGTCGGGAAAGTGAATAATTTAAAAAATAAATGTATTCGTAGATACGTTTATATCTATAGATGAATGAAAACTCTATTGTATAGTAAGTATCGTATTCTATAAACTGACATGTTAAAAATATCAAGCACCTGCTCACTTAAGTAAACACTTATATTCGGAATAAAGCATAGAAAAGTAAATACTTGTAGAATCTAGAGTTTAGAAGAATCGTCAAACTCTTACGGTTTTGCTCTTGCAATTTCGAGTTTTCGTTTCGACTCTTGACTATGTAAAAATTCGAACCGTTTGTTAATCTTATCCGGTATCGAGCAGATTTTTGATATTGAGCAATGTGAAACAATATTCGAGCGCACTCTACTGGAATGAGACTGTCGGTAAAAAGATACTTACCGACACGCAGTTTATTAAATGTTTGATACACAGTTGCGCACAAGTCGTACATAGGCATGTATGTATTTGTGCATTGAGAAAATGTGTGCTGTTAACTTTAAAGGGAATTGACGCACCACAGAATTGTCATCATAGAATTTTTTACTTGTCACTATCTGAATCGTTTTAAACGGAAAAAGACTCGCTTTAAATTTCAGGAAGACAAGGTAAGTTAATAAAGTGACCAAGCTGTTGAATAAACAGCTTGGCAAAACATGAAACGGTTGTTCTGTAAACTGTTATTAAATTAATGAGGTTTATTTACTCTAGTTTTCGCAAACGACTCTCGGAAACGAAAGATACCCGCAACATAAGAGAATAAGTGGTTGCACGGCAATACGAGGAGAAATAAAAACATTTGAAAGAGGGATAAATCGTTTACTGAGCAGTATGGTTAACCTAGATTTACCGGAGATTCCACCGTCCTTGAAAAGCATACAACAGTATTTAAAAATAGCAGCCACTCATGACCAACGAGATCTTGTTGTCAGTTATTGGTGTAAGTATATTTGATCTCGATACGAAATTGTACAATACCATAAACTATTGCATGGTTTTAAAATGTAATTGTAGAATATAATAAGAAACACAACAATATAATTATAGGTCGCTTATACGCGCTTCAGACAGGATTAAAACTTTCGACTAAAACAGTGAAAGAAACTAATTTTCTATTGAAATTGATGCATTGGTTAGAAACAACTAAACAGGAATCACGAGAGAACGAAGCGATTACAAACGACGTAGCCGCGCAAGCGCATTTAGAAAATTGGGCGCTCAAGCTTTTCCTCTATGCGGATAAAAATGATAGAGCTGGCAATTTCAACAAAAGTATAGTTCAGAGCTTTTATATCGTGGGCCTGTTGTACGATGTTTTGACCGTGTTTGGCGAACTGAGCGAGGAAGCCACGCAAAACAGGAAGTACGCTAGATGGAAAGCTACGTATATTCATAATTGTTTAAAGAATGGTGAAATACCGATACCTGGACCCATAGAAGATGGTGCAAAACATATTGATTCAGGTGACAATAGCATGGATAAAGGTATTTGTCGCTAGCCATTATAACGTATCGTTGTTAAGATAATTTTGATTAATAAAAAACGGGTTATCAATGTTGTAGACACGGATGATGTTTCCGATTCGGGAAAAGTAGACGAAGGAGAAGCGTTTGTAGATTCAAACAGGAAGAATAACGTTCACGACACCGATTCGTTCGATAGAACAAACAGTATGCGCAACGAAGGAGACATAGGGCAACAGCCTTCCGAGATGAAAGACGATTACCGTCCGTCTACGGAAACAGAAGGTAGTACGCAAAACAGTAATTCTGTCGATTCGTGTGCAATTACTTGAACGATAAGAGCACGTATTCGTTAGGAGGAGTTGACTTGTCATTGGACCAAATGAACAAGGCACAGAAATTTATCAAATGGGCTGGAAGTGCTTTAAATTACGATGATGTACCTACAGCCGTGCTAAACCTTCGAAAAGCTTTGAATCTGTTGACCGTTGGTAAAGAGGAAGAATAAACGAAATGTAGCCATAGTTTGCGTTAAAAGGAATATTCGCTTGGTTACTTTGTTCTTACGTTGACTCTAATGTAAACACGTACGTTTTCAATGTGATTATGAAAAAAGTAAAAATTATAAATTATTTATTGAACCGTTTATGTCGTTACAGAGAGGTCGAAAACGGAGGTTGTTTTTTTCTCGCCACACGAGTACTCGACGCGCTTATCCTTATACATAAAAATACATAAGAAAAAAAGAGACAGAGAAAACGGAAAAGAAAGAAAAAGAGAAAGAGAAAGAGAAAGAGAAAGAGAAAGAAAAAGAAAAAGAAAAAGAAAAGGATGAAAAACGAATCGATGGTTGCATTGGAATTTGTTATCGGTACAGCCGATTATCAAATATTACAGTAATGCTATACAGTACGTATACGAATAAAATTTTCTTTGAACGATATTGCATTGTGGCAAGTGCCAGCGATAAACTGTTTTCCTCTTATTTTCGTTGACGCGAGATAAAGGGATGGAAAATGTGACGAATAGCAGTAAAACCGAAGAGAACATCGATCGTAGGCTAGTTTTTCTTTGTTTATACGATTTTCGCGTATTTATACAATACATCGAATCGTTCGACCTCGCATCTTCGTATTCTATACAAGCATTTTGAAATCGATAAACAAAGCTAAGTACGTATTCAATGCACGTGTGTTTGTACGACGAGTGTGCGTGTTTACGTGTGCAGTACGTGTATATGTATATATGTACGCGTACCTACACATATACATGTATGATTACGATTACGAATTATACGCGCGGTGGCGTAAGTATCATTGTTTGTTTGCATTGAAAATCTGTTGCGGTGGTGTTGTTACGCGGTGAAGAATATTTGTCGATAAGTTTTGCGAGCGGACACCGTGTCGCGGTGAATTTGATTTCTCTGCACTTTCTTTCGTTTCGTTCGATATCTTTGAATATTGGAAATTTAGCTATCTCGCTCGAAAGACACGCTCGACCGTATAGTGCGAACGAACATCGGTGGATGGATGATACGAGGCAAGTAAACACGATTATTCCTACTGGTTCTTCTTTTTGATTGATATATTTAACAATCTCCGTCTAGATTAAGGACATGCTTAAAAAGAAAAGACGAGGAAATAAATAGAGTGCACTGTGAAATGCCGATATTAATTATCATCTAAAGACATATACATCTTAACTCGATATCACGGGAACACATTAATTCGAATGGCAGTTAATACCTTGTGTTTGAGCTAAAGTTTCGTACCAGCCTCCATGGCTAACTAGATTAATACCGCGGACGATTAGGTGACGAATCGAACGTCTACAACACTGTTGTCCTTCCGAAGCTCGACATTCG